CTAACTTTCAGAATGCCACGCTAATACTGTCCTCTGTTACTACTTCGACTCATGTTAGACGAGAAAATTTAGACGAGTTAAGATGAACTGCTTGCCACAGACTCCATCAAATCACGGAACGCTCAGTGTCGTAGAAAGGTCAGGGCTGAATAAAACATTTTGTTAGATGGTGCTTGACATAAATCTTGACGTTCTAGCAGTCCGTTTACAGTAGCCTTCTTTCTCATGCATTTGTAGATTTCTTTGTGATTTACATTACAGAGGTTTTCTGGGAAATGGTTGCCTTTTTTTCAAACTTACATTACTTTATCGTAAACGTCTTAAGTCGAATGCGTTTGAAAAAAACCTAGCTATAAAGGAATAGATTTTTAACCTCTGGTAGAAAAGTGTACCCATAGCACAGCCATACTCACTGCAAGTCCGATGGGAAATGTCTTCTGAGGAACCCCGCTCACCTACCGATTCCCACCTAGTTTAGTCCCATTTCAGCCCTTCCTCTTAGCGCAACTCGGTGAAATTCATTTGCAATCAACCTTTCAAACTTAACATGAAGTCACACTTGTTGGTATTTCTACAGAGCTGACTCCACCAACACCAAACGATACTTGCTCATCAAACCACTTTTTATGTAACGATAGCTGATCTCTCACTGGAAAGCAGCCACTTCAGGAATATGACGTATTCTTGAGCTGGACCCTGGAGGATAATACTACGCAGATCGTTCTCGTCAAAGCTATAATTGCACTTTACTTCATCAACTTTGGTAAAACTGATTCGACGCAATGACGATCTGAACATTCGGTTAGACCACATGCATGCATGCGTGGATGCCTTCTGTATTCATTTTTGACGATGCTTGGCCAAATGCAAACACAATCTGTCTTTTCCTGATTTTGATTTGTTCTTTTTAGCGAAGAAGTAGACCTCTTTGGCCTGTCGTCTAAGACATTGTTTGAGATAATTTTCACCATGGTCTCTCAGTTTCTGTATTTCTGAGGCAAATGCTGCCTGCTGATGGAGTATTTATGAGAAGGAGTTTAGGTATTTACCCGCACGGGACAAACTAAACCTACTTTCCCCCAAAAATACCGACCGGTACTGAAATATAGCTACCTCTGATTATAGCAGATTATTTCTAGTATGCTGGTCAATCGAACTGCGCCTGATGCACCAAAAGTCATTTTTTTTCAAAATGACCCCACATTTTAGATATTTACAAAAGAATAAGTGGTTCAGATATTACTTGAATTAAACGCCCAGGCATCATTGGAAATCTTGTTTCGTGACACAAATATCTGTTTTTTAATGGTACGGCTAAAATTTATTAAATCACTACTCCAACTTGCCCTGCCAAATTATTAGTTACCAGCAGTTCTATATCGCTAATGGCCCTAGTGATTTGAGGTTTTAATTTGCCAAAAAATATAATGAAGACCTTGCTGAGACCCTTGTATCAGGCCTGAAAGAGTACCGTGGCCCCACGGTACACTGTTTCAGTCACAAAATATAGGTCCGCGGGCAGATTGAGAAGACTGGAGGGGACTTGAGAAGACTGTTTATGAGATGGCTCAGGTTGTTTTGTCGTGCGTGTCTTGCATACAACGTTATGGACAGGCGAGTTGTGAGCGTTGAGGGCTGTCAACTGATGTAACACGGATAAACCGGCAAATGCGCGGTCATCTGAATAAAAGGGTGGGTGGTCAGAGTGACAGGGGTGTGTTATCAAACGTGTCGATATGACCTATAAAAGCGAAGGAAAGACGAAGCAAGGAGTCTGCGTGTGACGACACAATCGTATGTCATTACAATTTACTGCAATGGGTCAAGTCACACGCTGAAATAGGCTAAAAAGTGGACTGTTAGGGGTAGCTTAAAGTTAAAATACTATTCAGTAAATTTATAAATCGGTTGCTGGTAAGGTAAAATCTGTTTTGTATTTGTGTTTTACTGCGTCATTTCCGCATTGCCTTCGCGTAAACGAGTCATCGAACAGAACGTAGGCAACAACACCCGGTAATCCCTTTGCCAGTAGTCCAGCTTCACCCCCCTTCAGATTGCTAATAGTCATGTTCTACACATTGAACAAAGGATCAGTGTCCGCTGCACACGTCACAAGGGGGTTTGATTCAAATAGTAGTAGACGGCAAATGTGTCCCTGGGGTCTAATCTGTCGCCATGTTAATTTCATGCAGACCAACTAGCACTCGATTTCTTAGTAATACCTAGTGTTTTGGATTTATACCTTGATTCTTTTTAGTTTACTGCCCATACCATTAAACAAATCGGATTTAAAGCAACCAAGTACATTCTTTAAATTATTTTATCACAAGTAAAGGTAGCGGAGCACTGGAGGTATCAGCAAACGTCAACTGCACTGTATCATACTAACGACAGACAACACATAGAATAGGTCGAAAGTCTTGCATGCTTAAAAAATGAATGCTCTCTATTTTAACCAACACCCTGAACACCAATGATCTAATGCTAAGGGGCTTATTATAGTGTGGTCGGTAATAAATGAACAGTAACTGATTTCTTATTGAGAAACAGTTTGTCCACGAGCCATTTTGAGAACCACGGGGTTCAAACATTAAGTGGACGAATTTTAAGCTAATAAATTTCGTAGCGATTAACATGGTATTCCTGTCTACCTCTTTTTTCACCCTGTGGACAGTGCCCAACGAACGTTTAAATCCATAAGTATCTAACCGAACTTGTTGAACTTCCTATTGAGAATGACACGCACGCGTTCTTGATAGCATCCCAAAGTGCTTTTGATACTTTTTATCAATGGACTTCGACATGTCGCCAGTACGAGGGAGTTAAAATCTAACAAGCAGGAATCGTTTTAAAGAAATTTGACCTCATTTTAACACTACAGCTATTCTGATAGTCCTGGTGGCAATGCGCACAAGATTTCCCTTTGTCTTATTTGCAGTGTAGACAGGGTTTTCCTGAAGTTCGCGTTGAGGAATAAATTCTAGTTTCAAAGGACAATTCCGGTGTTCACTTTCCGCGACCTCAAAATGCCGAAAAAAGCTTCAAATAAAATTTGATTGGGATGGTCAGTGGGACCTGAAGACACGATCTCGCTGATGCTTACAATTAGATTATATACGAATAGAGCATAGGTGTTTGATATTTGCTTATTCCACATTAAATAATTGACAAAGAACGGAGTCCTGATACACTAAAGTCAGAAAAGGCCTTACTAATTAGGTTCACTACTGGGTTTCAGGTGAAGATGATGAATTCATGTTTCAGATGAAGTTCGCAATTATTCCCATTAGACCACCATTTTTGAGTCCATAAGTAATTTAACATGCACATTCATTAAACCTAGTCTTAGCATTTGTCTCAGAGCTAGTCGGTCTCCTGGGACATAAAGAACTGGTTATGACGGATCAAGGATTCACCTTTCGACATAAGTTGTAGCAAATTTCCCTCATCTATTTATTCTATTTTAGAACCATCGTTGCGTAGAAACCAACTCGCAGTCTCGACAGTTGACTCGAATTTACTTCAGCGTGTGAGCGTGTGCAACAACCCTCGTGCCGTATGGAAAATACCGTGAAATCGATCGCTGAAGAGATACGTGAAGCGAGCATAAGCGCAGGCAGCCTCGTGTCATTACATCTTCACAAACAGAAAAAAGTGTTTGTAACTACAGCGATGACTGCAGGGCATCTTGTGAAACAGGCATCTACTGGAGTTTAGGAAATCTAAGTCCCCGGTTCATCGGACAGAATTCAGTCAAGACAATAGCATTCATGTTTGATAACAAAATTAACATTTTTATAAAGGCCTAAAAAACGAAGGATTACAGTGCTATTTTTTTGGATTCAGGGGACTTGGCTCTCCTAATTCCATCGTTAATTTTGTCAATTCATAAATTTGAAGGCTTTGTACTTCATTGCAGTGAAAAGACCCTCTCTTTATTCATAGGTTTTGTTGCACAAACACGTTTACCAAGGACGCCCCTTTAATCGTGACGAAATCGGAAATACTGACTTTGCAAAATATATTTGTGAGGTTTACGATGCGCGTTACAACGGGAATAGCGTGGTGTGGCAAATCTTGGCATTCACCCTCATCAATCTGTTGTCACCAGATCAAGCACATCTTTCTTCAGCATCTCCACCGCTCCTACGGGCACGTCTGATTGCGCAAATTCTGTGCAACTACCTACCCCGACACTCATGCAGCGCCCCTTGTTAATTAACAAGTCGATAATCTCATCTTCTCATGTCCCTCTTGGGCACGTCTGAGAATGCGGTTGCTGCAGGGTTGGGCCACCCAATCAACAGTCGTATCCCCACCATCTCCTGTCTTTTGAATCTTGCTGAGTGTCTGCTTAATTTAATTGGGCCCGCGAAATTGGGTGGCTCTGTGCGAGACCTTAATGGTAGATCAAGTGAAAAGAAAAGCTCGTGTTTATAACATAATATCCTGCACCAGCATTTACAAAAATAATGCAATAAATACATTATCGGTACACGAGACAACCCAGTCGACCTAAATAGCTGCTTTTTCAAGTAGAATGGGAAGCACAATCAGAGATAGGTGGGTGCTGGTGAACGCATTAGGACGGGAAGGTGGCACTTTCAGGCGGCTGTTCTTTGATGGGGTTGGATTTGACCATTTCTTTAAGGTCAATAAGAACGTCTTTTATTTTCATGCCGCGTTTCCAGTTATCGAGGGCCTTGACTTTGCGCGGGTTCACCTGAAAAAAAAAATAAAAAGGGAATTATTGAAAAGGATGTAAAAGGACATGTTGGTGTCTGGCAAAACAGTTTTAGAGAATGCATTCTCTGGTTGCGTCAAAGTAGTGCTGGTTCAAACGGATCCCTCAACAGCTTCGCTGGGATTGATAGATTAATATTGCAAAGATACTTTTAGGGACGGTGGAACAAAGGGAGAACGGCAAATTGTTTTGACTCACCAGGTCAAAGAACATTGAAGAAGCATAATCAACAAGGTGACAGCAAAACTCGTTATCAGTAGATGTTGTCAGCAATGCAATTTCACCTCTGAAGAACGCAGGCGAAAGTGAATATGATACTGTAGTTGCTCCATACCACGCGACATACAACCGAGATATTTATGTCACTTATTAATGTTATGTGTTTAGAAGAACACATGGTCGTCTCATTAGGCCAGCTTAACCAACATTAACTCCCGCGTAGTCATTTTTAACTTGTAGCAAGCTGTATTGAAAAAGTATTTTGCAAATGTCCCAAAACAGTCGTGAAACTAAAGAGGGAAATTGTTTGTAAAGCCTAAAACAATGGCAGAGGTGGTATGCGGAACTTCCCTCCCCACATTTGCGATAACCTGTATGTGGGAATGCAGCAAATCGAAACTGGGTGCTTGGGGTTGTCTAGCCATTCTTCAACGACAAACGGAATGCTGAATTCGGGTGTTTCCGCTTATTGATCCTTAGCTAAGGACAACTCATGCAAGCCTCTGCTCCCTCTCCAGTAAATCATCGGAGAAGTAGCCAGTGAAAATAGCAGAACCACGCCTAAGTCTAGCTGTTATCTGATGGTAATCGTCCCCGACACTAGCATGAAAATTTCAAGCCCTAAGACATTGAGACAACGATCAGAGATAATCTCAATTGAAGCTATCCGACAGTCCAACAGGAATTAGCTGTTTTGTCAATGGGATGCTCAACTACTCTATCCTTTGATTTAAAAAAACTAGAAATCAGTAATTTTGATTGCATATTTGAAATTCTGTGCCTTTAATACTTCAGTATGCAATGTATCAGTTTTTAATACTGCGTTGTCATGCATCAAAAGTCAAGAATTTGCTGTTGCCTTCACCTTTAATCCCACATCAAAGCCATAGCGACACGGACTCATCTAAGTCAAATCATTCAACGAAGAATAAGGCATGCATCCATACTACAAACGTATACGATGTTAACTGAAGCTCCCTCCATATTTTGGTATTTTACTTCCTTGATAATATGAGCATCAAAGGTAAGCAGAGACCCTCTTACTTAAGTGTGTATTAATGTAAAACGGTGTTAACACAACTTAAAATACAAGGTAAGTACGTCTGTTTAAAGAAACTCTCGCATATCCTAGTTGTGTCCGAATGCCTTTGATCTCTCCCACGACAGTTAATCGTTCGATCAACCACTTACCGAAAATATCCTATTTTTTTTTATTAAAATCGATGTTCGCTCACACCATACTCTCGTACCCCAACCACCTCAAATTCGTGTAATCAGAATACTTATTCAAATTGAAGTCCTTAGCATTAATAATTTCAGATGGATTTTCGAACGCTCGGTGTCATTTTGTGAAATTTATAAAATAAAAAAGGCAATGTGAGAGTACTGTGGTCTTAAATCAATCAAATCTAAAATTATGTTGTTAAGTCTGAACAAATACCCTAGATTATGCGCAAAAAAATTAAGCTCAGACAGCCCTCATTTTGTCTTTAACCAACAAGCAATGTCGTGAAGTCACAAACAGGAATTTAAGGCTCAGGCAACAGAACTGATACCTAGTTTGAGCGCACACCGAAGACACGACTTGAAGGCAGCGGTAGATTTGTTCGTGTATCTATTCAGCTGGGTGGCTGCTCATTTCCATGACAAACTTTGATTCTTTTCAATAAACCATACACGATATTCGCTAGGGGCTTTGGTCTACGTGATCTGATGGTGTGCAACCTTTTAAATGAGTGCCTTTATACAGATTAGAACAACAGGAACGAGTAAGCATCCACTTACCACTCCTGTTTGGCTGTCAACACCGTCCATTACTATTTTACTTACAAACCTAAAAAAGGGTAAAATATACATCTTGTTAGTTGCTTCATAATTCCAGATTGCCAACTTTTAAGTTAAATGAAAGGCGTTTAAATTAATTTAACACGAACAAAACTTCGACCATAAAAGCCCAGTAAAGTTGAAAAAAAAAATTTGAAAAATCCTCGAGCGGATAATGGAAAATGAAAGGATTTATGACAAACCAAATTGGATGAGACAGTGCTATTTATTTAAAAGTAGACTGTTCTATCAAGTAATTGCAAAAGATTCGTAGTCGGTTTAAAACAATATTGAGTTCACAGCGTTTTCATAAAAAAGCATAGTTGATTAATGCATTATGCACACTCCATTATTTCCTACAACCCTCATCAACTACTTTACAGGTTGTAACTGCCTTCTGAGTCGAAAAAAACCACTTTCTTAACTTCAAATAAAATCGTGAGATTACTTTTGACTGTTTCCGTCAAATCACGTTTTTTTCGCCACTCAGATTACTTTTCAGAGCGCGAACTACATGGAAAACTGAAGGAACAACATCAGGGGAAGACAGCCGGTAACGCTGGAGGATTTCCTATATCGATCGCCTGAGGTTACCACTGTCTGCCGAGGAACTTGTAGCGTGACGTTTTCACGGTGAGTGATGACGCTTTTTCGATTGACCAAATTTATACATTTCGACTGCACTTCACTAATGCGTTTGGCGGGCTGCTCATAGTACATATTGGCGCTTATGCTTTGTCCACGTGGGTGAAGCTCGTAATAAAGTCTACCTCCGCAATCCCACCAGACGCAGAACAAAACTTTCAGTAGATGCGGCATTTCAGTTTATTTTCTTATTTTGCACAAATACTTCTGCATGTCCACTTATGACTTGATCCACCTTGTTAACGAAGGAGGAGGAGAAGGAAATGGCTATTGGAGCACGTTTCAGTTTTGTACGTCCTGCTTAGATGTGTAAAACTCATATACCGAGTTAAGAAAGATATCGGAATTGCTCTAAATAGCCATCCATGGATTATCGTTCATCGAATCTCTGAACAACGCATTATTAATGCCACCGTGATTAGTCGATTTACGCAAATGAACTTCACGCAACTCCATTCGTTCAAGGACCGATGCTTAGTGAAGCTGTACGAACGCACTTGTCATCCTGTACAAACACACCAGCGCTACTGCATCAATAAATTAGTGGAGTTACTCGCCATCCGCATTTCTCCACTCTTCTTTCGGTCGGGCCGTGTCACCACAGATTGTCGGCCCTGATGTGGTTCCCAAAACCGCACTAGGACGCCGCAACAGACTAAAGCACTTTTAACCGTCTTAGTGCAGGAGCACGCCACAAATAAATGTCTTGAATACTTAATTTGCAGATCCAGCACTCAACCCTTTTTTTAAACTCACGTAACCAAACATAGCGTAATTTTAACTTGTCATATTCAATATCGAATATCAACTTCCCACACTGATCAGTTTAGAAATAATTTACTATCGTACTGGCTTATGTCGCACTAAGATAACTGTCATTTAGCAGTGGGGTTATGAAAGAAACATCAGTACAGTCGAGAGTATGTGCTTCTGTCACATAAGAAAATTGCACACTAACTTATACAATCTCCAAACACTGCCAACGCAATAAGGGTTAAATTCGCTTTTCACAGAAGTGGAACAAATCCGATACGTTGTGACGTCAAGTTGAGCTCCCAACCAGGCCGTACTACTACTACTACCGCGTACACAGGACGTGCATGCAATGGCGGGGCACGGGGGTTGCGGCGTCGGTTTGGAAAGGTGCATCGCGCATGCCATGGCCACTTAAACCAGCATAACCTATAAGATCGGCAATGTTTTTGATTTTTGACGAGGCGCGTTTACCGAAGTTCAGAACTTAGATCCAGACACAATTGGCTGTTCTCTGAATTCGTTTTGATCGTTTCTCTTTATTTGAAGTTAGCAAGATAAGTTTACCACCACAATCAATACAGAATGGACAGTAATTCTGAAATTCATTCAGATACCTTCACTACGAAGAGAAAATGTTAAGCTTCTACAATATTGCTGGAGATTAATGGTATTCCCTCCATCATCGCTTCGACAATCAAATAAACCGCTTGACAACGGTGACAACTTGACACACTTATTTTTCTGTTTTTAAGAGGTTGGTGCAATGAATTTTTAAGGCTTGGCATTTAAACAATGAAATAAAAAAACTTACTTTACGGAAGGAGGTGAATCCGGATATTTATCGTCGCATTTAATTTTCAATACATACACTCTCACGTCATTGTTGGGCATTTGAACAAAAATGGTGCCATTCCAATGGCTAAGAGACATGTCGTCAGAGTCGATAAGGCCCCAACTTATTGAACCATCGCCATGTCCTTTAAGACCTTGTTCAAACTCTTCCAAAAGGTAGAAGCTTCGGGGAACAATAACTATTTATTAAAATAATAAATGAGAGCACAGGAAAGTAGCCAGGTCTAAAAAACTTGTTTCAAATATAAACGTGCGTAATCAATGCCTCTTATTCACGTACGGATGTTATTCAGCTGGGAATAAAATAAAGGCAGAACGCACTGTGCTGACCTACCCAAAAACTGACTCACAAATTTTGATTTACTTTGCATAATTCTCTAATCACACTGACTGCTAGCCAAAATGAAATAAGAACATCGTAACATGAGATAATTCACAAATCCTAAGTTAAAAATAAACATGAGGAATGCCAAGCTATTGTAAAATCACTGAGTCGAAAATAAATTTTGATTATTGCAAAAAGCAGGAAAACTTGTTGTGCTAACAATTGCGCGTACAAGTTTCACCAAATGTTTTACACAGAAATGTGCTACGAATCCCGATTTAAAAACACTTAAAATTACACCTTTAAGCAGAATGGTGTAGAAACTACCAGATGAATGTTAGAAGCAGCCTCCACTTTGACCATTTAAAAAAGTCGGAGAAACATAACAAGGGTTTGATTAATATGCTATTTTTCTTTGATCACGTTGATTTACAAAAACGGGAAAAGTGGTTCATATAATGAGCGGCAACGCAAGGCAAAAATATAAACACAAACAGATTGTCAATAAATACAACTTGGCATCATGTCATGTATTTAATTATTTTTTGGCCTGGTTATTTTATAATTTAAAGTTACGAGTTACTGATATAGACGCAAATTTTTAAGAAAGAGCCAGAAAATTTACGAACCTTTACATTGACCATTATACCTCAAACGGTTACTCTAGAACATTTCCTTAGAAAAATCAATCTTTATCGCGCAAAGCTTATACTCATCTAAGCGTTGGTTTCATTAGTTGTGCAATTAGTAACTACGGATCAATCTTAAATGCCAGCCCAAAAAAGGTACAACTAAGTTAGTATGCTAATTAACAATGGTAACTGGTTCACGAAAACAGTTCTTAAAGTAATTTTGAGGATTCAACTAGGACGCCTTTGATTGGTTTACCACGAGCATTTCAGCGATTTTGGCGCCTTAGCACTCATCTCTTCTTTAGGTCTACTTCCAACACAGCCTAAAAGTGTGACAGGCAACAAATCTGTCTGAAGCATGGCAATGTGCTGCGTTTGGTAACTGCACTATCAGACAAGATCACTAACCGATTCTCATACAGTGTCAAGTATGAGTTTACTCTATAATACTCGCACTGGACGTGTGAGCAAGCGAAAAGGCAACACAATGCTCAGTATTTTTATTCCAGTGTTCCACGCTTCATTAAAACTGGTTCTACGTTCTGGTTAATGTGTAGTTAGCGTATTATTCAACTTGCTGTTTCTTGAATGTATCACCGACACAAGTTCAACCAGAGCACAAAACCTTCTAGAATGAAACTTGTAAGATTGAAAAAGGATCTCACAAAACCCTCTAGCAAAAGACCATGATGCAAAGGCTAAACCATGAAGCCCTTTGCAAAACTAAGGAAGAATGAACCAAAATTCTGCTGATGGCAATTACACAGCTACTATCAGCTATTGTTAACGCACATTTAAATTAACATGGCAATACACACCAACAATTTCCATTGTGAAAGTGATTGAATGACAGTAGAACCACCTCATAATCCGAGATGTTCCAACCATGGATATACATTGACAGGCTCAACCAATTTACTTTGAAAGTGCGTGAATGTGATTCGTGATTTTGAAATAACAGCTGAGTCGTTCATTTCCAATAAAGATGGATATTTACGTTAAATCAATTTCCTGCTACTAACGACAACAACTTAAGAGACAAATGTGACGCGAGGGCGCTGGTAGTACTATAAGTGGAAGAACCACGGGCGTTTTAACCATATTTCAACTTACAGGAAATCTGTTCTTAAGCACAGTATACAAAACGGAATCATGCTTAATATGCAATTATAGAAGTTGCACACTAAACAGCAAAATTATTTTTAAACATTGACATCAATTTGCACCTATTCGTAAAGGCTTTTTAGTAATGACCTTTATTTTAAATAGACAAGTGATTCTTAGAAAGGCAAGACAACATCTACAATGACCAATTATACATAACCTGCCTTTTAAACCCTATCAAAAAGCAACTTCGACTATTAAAATGTCACGTTCTAGCTTACCGGTGCTCATTTTAAAATTGTGACCTACAAGCCGCAATGACACACTGCTGTATTTAAATACATTCATGGTCAGGAAATTGTGCTTAATTAATAATTGGATTTTACTCAATTCGAATTTTTTCGGGTACGCATTTTTCCTACAAAGAAGCTAGACCTAAAGAAAGTGTCAGTGTCGAGTAATTTGCACAAAGTGAAAAACAAAAAAAGCCGATAAACTATGAAAAATGGAAACTAATTAAACCAATATCAAATACCACATATTTTAATATTAGCTTTTTGCTTTAGAACAGGGGTGACAAGATTATTGAATATTCCACAACCATGCGGACTCGCCTTGTTGGCACTCGGTTATCACATGACAGGAATTAGTCAACTCAATTAAAGATTTCGCTATGGCTACCTATCTTCCAAGATCTATGTTAGGTATATGGAATAAATTTCTATTTTCTTACTATGCTTTTAAGCAAAGTGAAACTGCTTTAATTTGCGGCATACTGAAAATTGTTTGACCTGTGGATCTAGAGGTGATTTGCAAAAGCACTGAGTGATTGAAGAAGTGAACACGACTCACGTTACCACACACTAAGCTCATCATGCGAGAGAGGAGAACCTAGGAACCCACGACCTATATATTCAAGATTATAAAGACATTAAAATATAGATTGTGTATGTAAAGGGCATCCCGTGATCGGTAGGAAACATATACTGAAAATTAACTTTTCAATTGAAATTTAAAATGATCAAAAAAGGAATGTTAAGCGTGGCAAATCATTGCATCAGAACTTCTCTTCCCTTTCGTTGAGCTCAGTACGGCCACGTTACTTTTAAAAATACGCTAGTCTTGCATTGGAAAAAATCCAAAGCGTATATCGCAAGATTAGCATCACATTAAAATAACTAACCGATTTGGCTATTGTGGATCCATTTCTACTTTAATGCCTATACCAAGATTTTCAAATCTTCTGTTCTGAACATTGATTTCTTGATTTTTAATGATGTCATATATTCGCATAAAAAGATTTAATGTCAATAAATGATTAGAATATGGGAAAAAGCTAAGTAATGTAGATTATGGTATTCGCATATATGTCAGTGTTAAGTAAACATGGTGGTCTTAGTCTCTTCATGCTGGACTCATTCAGTTATTCGATCAAACAAATGCTCGACTCTATATGTAAATTTTCTATTTTTAACTTTTCAACCGTTCAATGGATACTACATGTCAGAATTCGCTGCGCGCCTCAATTGGCGCCGCAATGTGAGTGGTAAGGAACATTTTTAACTTCACAATTCCTTTTGTCCAAGAAAGATACCCATGATACGCAATGAATCATGTGGTGGAAAGCCGCACTCAGACCCAGATTCAATGGTCAATTAATTTGGCCGAAGGGCTGCTACTTCGTCGGCTACGGGCTCTCAACACGACTCACGCTTCGTCAGATGTGACTTTCTCCATCCCACGTAAAGCGTCAAATTACTAACGGTAACATCACTGATAAAATACTGACTGTAAAACACAATGCGTATGCCTAATTTCGTCAATTTTATTGCCTGCACACAAAGCCGTCTATGCGAGTCACCTTCCTGCTCTCGACTTGATGTGACTGGATTTCATAGCGCAACAATAAATGGTGCATTGTAATGTCATAGCACCTGGTTTTGTTTTGGGATGTCAGTGACTATGAGCGAAAACTCGGACCTCTAATCAACCAAGTGAAAATGAACATGTTGTGGTTCACTGGTATTTGTCATGTGGTCTATCTATCTACCTACCTATCATGGAACGTCATGCAGGGGTTGCCAAATGCATATGTGTTTATCTTTAGCTTTGTCAACTTGTTGCCAGCATGTCATCCGTCTAGCCGATTCGATCAACTAATTGGCCTCAGATTTCCAATTCTGCATAAGCTATGGCGAAGATGGTGTTTGTAATGCTGGTATGCATCACATCCATAGGAAGAACCAAAAAAATGACAACGTCCAGTCAATACGACCAAGCAATACGAACAAGCTTTTACAAGCCTTGGAATCATAGAATGACTCGGCGAGGTCCGCTGTTTCACGCCAGGAATTTGAAGTGTTTCCACAGCTACGCAAATGCGAATTGAATGGCGGTGACGATGGTGACTGATATTGCCATATCCTGTGCAATATTGTTACGACAGTGGAGAGCGTTCCGTGATTTGATGGAGTCTGTGGCAAGCAGTTCATCCTAACTCGTCTAAATTTTCTCGTCTAACATGAGTCGAAGTAGTAACAGAGGACAGTATTAGCGTGGCATTCTGAAAGTTAGTTTCATGGCTTTGAACATGTGGGCAGTCTTCTACCGAGAGAGAGGGAGAGAGGAACACGGGGAGATTCAGAGAGAGATGAAGACAATGTGAGGTGAAGCTGGAGTCAATGTAGGAGGTTGGCCAAAATCGGGTGGCATTCAGCATGCATGGATGTGCACCCAATCTGCGCATACTTAGTGAATAATGAATAAGGGCAGATTGTTACAGTTAGAGTCAGTTGCATTGTTTAGCAGTAGAACCCGTGCAATGTCGAAGGTGGTCGTGTATTGCTTAGAGATCTCGAGGTTCTCTTAGACTGACACACTTTGCAATCGTAGATGGATGGACTGGGAGTTGCACGAGTGCAATACCGGTTTGACTGTGTACGATGTGCAAGTTCTCCTTAACATCCTTCCTCGAGTGCCTTGATACGAACATTTATCTTGTGTTAATGCAGCTACCCCGGATAAAATTATTTATCCCAAATTATAGCAGCTAAATCACTGTCACTGGACTCTCTGAAGAGAATTCAATATGTAGTTTAGAGACGGGTCATTTTAGTGTGTTCGTTTACTTACTGTAGATGGTCTGTTTGTGCACTTTAATTGATTTGGACCCCTCACCGAATTCCAATCGTTCCTTCAGAGGTGCCAAGAAGTGAAATGCATCTGAAGGTACTACAATGCCTCTAAATCACATGCCAGACATCTCGTTATTTGCGTGCGACACATGTTCTCTAGGTTAGATAAGTTTGAGGAAGGCCTTTTGTATAAAACAAGAAAGTGGACGTAACACTGTCAGACACGGAGTGTTACTATGCTTAAGTATTTCTTAAATTGGCTTATGCCGATGCACTGTAATAAAGCACAAAAGTTGTGGCTGTGTTCAATGGATCCTTCCAAGAAATGGCTGCGTTGGCTGAAGAGTAAACGCTAGTTGTACACGCTTACTAACCCTCTCTATCTTTATCCATTGTATTAAAGCCAAAACACATTGGTCGCCAAATAATGGAAATACCACTTCAAACAACACACAAATCAGCCAAGAACCCTTAATGAATTGCAGATAACTTCAAAGCTGCATTCAGAATGAAACCAGTCGGGGCTATGAATTCCTGCTACTCGTTCACATCATTAATGAGTGAACTCTTGTGACGCCTGGAATTTGTACAGATATTAAAATAAACTGCGTAGACGAAACCGCTTGTGGTCTGGGATGTCTTCCTCGTAGAAACAAACACTAAAAATCGCGTCCTCTCATACCATGTCTAATAATACTGTCATCAGCTACTAACGAGTTGAGCTAAGGAGAGTCATGCCACATTTAAGAGAAATCGAGGAGTGCAGGCTTAGTTTAACATGTCGAGGAGTTCTGAGTGTGTAACGGATATAGTGAAATGAGGTTAACTTTTTTTCAGACGTTGTTGACTTCCCAAATCGCATCTAAAGTAAAATCACTCTAGGAATTAGTGCGAGAGAGCTTAGCATAACTTCCCACCAATAGCTGGTCGTTCTAAAAGTGAAGAAGACCATAGAATGAATGAATGGACCTTTGGTTTTCAGATTGCATGAGCTTGAAAGCTCAATGTGACAAGGAAGGAACTCCGCAAGATGCAACAATAATGTGACAATTTGAGCACATTTTTGTCACTTGGTTTATCGGCTAAAACAATATTTTTTGATAGAACGGAAAAAGGCTTTGACGCAACGTCAGACGCGTGCCCAATCCAGGGTCAAAATGCAATCCGCTAAACACATTTTGCAAGAGAGTAATAAGTGAGTGTTTTTTTTAAATTTAAAATTATTGTGTAAAACAAACACAAGGTTATTTGTGGGTGCATAAAACAACTAGTCGAAATGCCATCGAGAGTGCAAGGCGAAGTAGTACGGAAATTGTAAGGACAGGATCCAAACATAAGCACAACGAATGACAAAATTATATTGGCAACACAAATTAATCCGTGTCTCGAATGGCATCTTCATCATCGTCGAATTCTCCTTCGTCATCAGCGGTTGCATCTTGGTATTGTTGATATTCGCTAACCAGATCGTTCATGTTTGACTCGGCCTCGGTAAATTCCATCTCGTCCATGCCCTCCCCAGTGTACCAGTGTAGGAATGCCTTTCGTCTGAACATCGCCGTGAATTGCTCGCTTACACGTTTAAACAACTCTTGAATAGCTGTGCTGTTTCCGATAAAGGTGACTGACATTTTCAATCCCCGTGGAGGAATGTCACAGACGGCCGTCTTGACATTGTTGGGGATCCATTCAACAAAGTAGGAGGAATTCTTGTTTTGCACATTCAACATCTGTTCGTCGACTTCCTTCATCGACATTCGACCCCGAAATACAGCAGCGACAGTGAGGTAACGTCCATGACGTGGATCGCAGGCAGCCATCATATTTTTGGCGTCAAACATCTGTTGCGTTAGCTCAGGCACAGTAAGCGCGCGATATTGTTGGCTCCCCCGACTGGTTAGGGGAGCGAAACCGGGCATGAAAAAGTGAAGGCGAGGAAAAGGAACCATATTCACTGAGAGTTTTCGGAGGTCTGCATTCAGCTGTCCCGGAAAACGTAAGCAGGTAGTCACTCCGGACATTGTGGCGGAGACCAAGTGATTTAAGTCACCGTAGGTTGGATTAGTGAGTTTGAGTGTGCGGAAACAAATGTCGTAGAGAGCCTCATTGTCGATACAGTAAGTTTGATCTGTGTTTTCGACAAGTTGATGGACGGAGAGTGTTGCATTGTAAGGCTCCACTACAGTATCAGAAACCTACATTTAAAAAGTTGAGAATTTCAATATCCAAAGAAAAATTGTCCATGGTATATGCTTACTACAAAGATTTAATTTGTTTTAGTAACTGGAATTAGGTTTATGGCCACGGTCTCTAAATAAGACAATGCATGCTACTTAGCACATTTCTAAGCCAATCAAAAAAAAACAATTAGTTTACTGAATTGCATTGTTGGCTCATAAAAAACAAAGCCGACGAATTCCTCACTCACAATAAACTTGAAGATATAGTACTTAACTTAATGGTCCGCATGAAAGGAATTATGACAAACCAAATCGGATGAGACAGTGCTATTTATTTAAAGATAGACCGTTCTATCGAGTAATTGCAAAAGATTCGTAATTGGTGTGAAACAATATTGAGTTCACAGTGTATTCATAAAAAGCATAGTTGATTAATGCATTATGCACACTCCATTATTTCCTACAACCCTCATCAACTACCTTACAGGTTGTAACTGCCTTCTGAGGCGAAAAAACCACTTTCTTAACTTCAAATAGAATCGTGAGATTACTTTTGACTGTTTCCGTAAAATCACGTTTTTTTCGCCACTCAGATTACTTTGCAGAGCACGAACTACATGGAAAACTGAAGGAACAACATCAGGGGAAGACAGCCGGTAACGCTGGAGGATTTCCTATTTCGATTGCCTGAGGTTACCACTGTCTGCCGAGGAACTTGTAGCGTGACGTTTTCAAGGTGAGTGATGACGCTTTTTCGATTGACCAAATTTATACATTTCGATTGCACTTCAACAATGCGTTGGACGCTTACCACAATACGATTCACAGTTACTTTCAGTTCACTCACGCTTGTTGCAAGCATCTAGATTAACTCTACTCTAATCGGTACTTGCTAGTCCAGAAATACATCACAATGTTCACTACAGACCTCTACCTTTACATTGCCCCAAATTTACACATTCGTAATTTTTCAAATGAATCTGAGACATTTCTGCATGTACAATTCATCTTGCCAGTGTGCGCAGGAAGCGCAGGGTAAGTGACAATCGAGTGCGTGCGTTCTAACTGGACATCATTGGCTTTAGCGACAAAAACCATCAGAGCATGATTCATTGTCTAACTACAAGCCAATCTCATGTCAGACTACTGGCATTGTAAAATCAATGACTCACCTCCGAAGTGGTCCGGACCGATTTGCAGTAAGCGAAAACAAGCATCTTTCACACTCTAACAAAGGGTGTCCTATAATCCATACTGGAACCACATGCACCGCAAATATAAACCTTTTAAAGGAAGAACTAAGAACGGGTCTCTATTTGTGGATACGCAAGTTTTGAGGGAGGCAGCAGACCTAGGACCTCACAAGTCTGTTACCGTGACAAGGCTGTAAAATATGTGGACTTTCCCTTGATGAGTTTCTTGACAAAGTATAGCCACTATGAACTCATGAACACATTTTTATTGCTAAACAAGAAACCAGGACTACATTCTTTGTTCATCATACCTTGATCCACTTTGAACACATGTAAAACCAGATTATGCATTTCACAATTTGACAGTCCCCGTACCTTGATAAATGTTGAATTTGGCAATGGATCTAATCGTTTTGGGGAAATTAAGTCAGGGTAACATTTTAGCAGCTTCCTGAATTGGCTAAAGTACGTTGTTTTAAATATTTTTCTCCTTATTTGTAAAGACGGGTTTAATTTGTCATAGACAAGGCTTCATGAAAAAATAAATCTCATCAGGATCATGTCCTTGTCTGCTTTTTCCAAAGAGAGCACCATTTCGTGCATCTACGACCCGCAACAAAGTTCTAATGAAACGTTACTCATAGAAATCGTTGTACATTCAAAAATAATTTAAAAACTTAAATAGCATAGCTCAAGAAGTTTGTGCATGGAACCCTTAAAATAAAAGTTATTTTACTGAAGTAGTTGGATACCACCGATAAGGTCTTACTTTGGGTGAGGGCACCACAGAAAAGGTGATCATGATGCGGTCTGGATACTCTTCGCGGATTTTCGAGATCAATAATGTTCCCATGCCAGAGCCAGTACCGCCTCCAAGTGAATGTGTCAACTGGAAACCCTGGAGACAGTCGCAGCACTCAGCCTCCTTGCGGACCACATCAAGGACCGCGTCGACAAGTTCCGCACCCTCCGTGTAGTGGCCTTTGGCCCAGTTGTTACCTGCACCACTTTGGCCAAACACAAAATTGTCCGGTCTAAAAATCTGACCAAAAGGCCCTGCTCGGACGCTGTCCATGGTGCCAGGCTCAAGATCAACGAGAATTGCACGAGGAACATATTTTGTTCCGCTCGCTTCATTATAGTAGACGTTAATACGTTCAAGCTGAAGATCAGAGTCACCGTGATAAGTGCCAGTAGGTTCGATTCCGTGTTCGTCGGATATCACTTCCCAAAACTAGGAAGATTAGGAACAGTTAACACAAATGTACCTTCCTTGATGGTGTGCTACTGAGAAAAAAAAAATAAAAAACGAGAATTGTCCTAGCCGGTTTACGGCAAGTTGATTGGTGTTCGTGACTCACCCTTACCCTTCACGAGCTTCTTCGTAAGCACTCTGGTAAACCCACTCAGTCACGCACGCAGAGGAACACACCAAGCCTAGCAGTGTTATTAGACGCCTCGTTTCCGCCGTCGTTTTCCGCTAGTTCGATTGGTGTTGAGGATTACAAAGCAGCTTGTTTATAGCCACAAGTTAATGGTATTTTTCCATGCAAATAAATATGAACGAAACAGTAAAAGCGAGGTGGTGATTCAATATTTGCGAACGTTAATAACGGAATTCTCTACACGTTGAATTCATGGCTTGGGGTTGTAAGGATAAATCGTCGGCTATTCGACCATGGGCTTCAGGTCTTCACGCTATGATCTACGGGTTACATGGGCGTTCACTCAAATTCACGAAAATTAACGCCATACCAATTCAGTGAAAATTTCAAACTGTTGCATGCACTAAAATACTAAAAGACTTTAATTTTCACATTTTATACAAAAAAGTCTATGGAATGTTGAAACTAGTATTAGCGTAATTGTTAATTGTTGCAGGAGCCGCGTTTTCTCGAAAACAAACCAACATCGCCACTCAATGGGGCAAGTCATGATGTAATCAAGTGGACCTAATGTCCGATGTTTTATACTACCAGAATACTTACTTCAGGAGCGATGGAACTACCTAGAAAAAGTGTAGCTGTTTGTCGTGGTTACAAGATGCCGCTAAACCTCCATATTAAAGATTACTGGATTGTAGAGTTTTACTTCGCAAAACATGTTTTGAAAACAACTGCGACACATATAGTGTGATGTGGGCAGACAATCAATAGGGGCTGCCTACATTTTAACCTCGATTATGGAACTTGATCTGGGCCAAAAATCATGCGTGCATTTTTTTGTTTATATCGTCGTCAAATTCGATATAATGAAATCGCAACGAGTATAACCACTTGCTTTACCAAAGCAAAAAATGCAGGTCTAAGTGACATTATTGACTAAATTAAAGTCAATAATGTCATCAGCAATTTAAGGAGGCATTTTGTATACCCAATCGACGAGAGGCAGACATATTTACTAATTTAAAGAAGAGTTAAATAGTGATCAATTGCTTTCGTCTAAGTCGATCATCAGTTCCTGTCTGTGACAAAGAACTTGCAGAATCATGATAACTTCCAACCAAGCAAATTTCGGTGAGTACTTGTGATTTGATAAAAAATGAAGATGAGATACTAAACTTGGGGATTTTATTCGACTTTTCACAGCATTGCGATCTTGTGGTCATTTGGCGTTTTTAAATTAAAACCGCTTTTTATTTCACCCAGTAAAGAAACCGGTGGCAGATTTCTAATGATAATCATTTGGAGCCGATAGATTCAAACACAATTTTGACTAAATCAAGAAAACACGATTAAGCAAAACAACCATATGATAGAAACCTCGCCAAATTTACCGAATTTAGTATGATCAGAAATATCCACAGAAGGCATTTGGTATATAAACCTATTCTGAACATGTGTTGGCGGTCTAGTTTAGCCACCTAGTCACTTTGCCAAATACTTACAATATGATTAAAAACTGCATTTTAAAAAGCACCCACTTTTCAAACATCAACTTCAAACCATTTCCATTACCACCTAAATTATTCCCTAATGTGAGCACATCGAAAAGTAATTTCAAAATAATAGTTAAAAGTTGACTTAAACATGCTCCAAATATTTTAAGTTTAAAATCTCATGTTTACCTTAGCACCAATTTGATTGCCACACTGACCAGCCTGGATGTGCACAATTTCGCGCATTTTAATCAGCGGGAGTAATGCTGTGGGACGGACTAGGCAGCAGCCTTCACTGCCCTTATAATCACTTTGTGGTTGCTACAGCAACGAACAAGCGGATGACCAATCAAAAGATACGGCCACCTAATCTTCCCAGAGGGTTAGGCTACTGCAATGGACCAATAGGACGGTAAATAGGGCCAGAACGCACATAGTGCGAAAAATTCTAATGGGCGAGACCAGGCACTTTTTATTTAGATCCGAAATAGCACAATGCTTCTATTTATTACCACTCCAAGTACGCAGAAAGCGGCAGTAAACAATTTTTGCAAGTATTATGTAGCAGTATATTCGAGAAAACGACAATAAGTGGTTTTGCAAATTTTAAAAGCATCCCTTAGTTTAGCTATGGAGTAGAAGTGGCCGTCATTTACTGTGTAAATAATCGGATCTAACCTACAGCTTACTGTGACCAGACAACAGTAAGTCACAGTAATAAGAAACTCTCTTGTAAGGTAGTATAATCATTTCACTCCAAGCTTACTGAGTACACGTTGCTGTCTTAGTCATGAATTCACTAAACGGGGTCGCAGTGAAATTAAGGAAGTCAACAATAATTGTATATTGGGCTCCCATGGACACCTGCAGGGCTGTGCGTCCTACATCGCATGCACGCTAAGCGAACGTTCAGGATGCCACATATTAAGATGTCAAGTGCTTTAAACATTGCAAACAATACAATTCTATCATAATGTGTAATCATGTTGGGATTTCTGATCGCATGCGGGTGGATCGCAATGTACCTATTGTGACAGGGAGATTTTCCTTCATCATGATTTATTCTTCATTGAATTCGACGTGATAAATACATTTTGGAAAACACAAAATTTATAGCCTTGGTATTGCGTAGATATGGATGTCTTGAGAAGATAAAAATAACAAAAAACTACTGAAATTGGTATCAAGTAAGAATTTTTATATTCCTTGTTATAATATTTAAAATATGCACAGCCAAAGTCAAATTACGCTTAAGTGACTGTTTGACAGATTTGGCATGAAACTTCCAAGGATAGATTGGTAAAATGGTCCAAGAAAACTGTTCTTAATGTAATTTTGATGGTTCAACAAGTACGCATTCGATTGGTTTACCATAAGCATTTCAGTAATTTTGGCGCCTTAGCACTCAGCTTTTCTTCAGGCCCACTTCCAACACATAACCTACAAGTGTGACAGGCAGCAAACCTGTCTGGAGCATAACAACGTGCTGCGTTTGGTAACGGCACTAGCAGACAAGATTAATAACCAATTCTTATGCAGTGACAAGTATGAATTTACTCTATAGCACGCGCAACAGACGTGTGTGCAAGCGAGAAATCACCACAGTATTCAAAATTATATCTTCATTCCAGTGTCACACGCTTCACAAAACCTGGTTCTACGTTCTGACTAATATGTAGTTAGTGTATTATTCAACTTGCTGTTTCTTGCGTTTTCGCAGTAACACTCGAATGCATCACCTACACAATTTTAACCTGAGCGCAGAACCTTCTAGAATGAAACTTGTAAGGATGAAAAAGGATCTCACACAACCCTTTAGCAAAGGATCATGATGCAAATGCTAAACCATGAAGCCAACCCCAAACCTGGGAAAGAATGAACCAAAATTCTGCTGACGGCAAATGCACTGCTACTATCAGCTGCGGTTACCGCACTTTTACTTTAATACTTTATTGTGAATTGATGAAGCGACGGTTGAACCACCTCAAAATCCGAGCTATTCCAAGAATGAAGGTCACTAACATACGCAACCAGTTTACTTTGAACACATGTAGATGTGGGTTGCCGTTATCGAAATGCCGCATTATGCGGGTAAATAGTCCCACTAGACAGACTTCTTACTATCAGCGGTGACATCTGATCAGGCAAATGTGACACTAACAATAAATGTTGGCAATAAATGCATACACTGGTACCTTTTGCGATTTCGGACAGATTTCAGCTTACAGCAAACCTGAAACATAGTGTGTAAAATGAAATTAAGCTCGTCAATTCATTCTGTCAGTAATAAACCACATGTATTTATTTCCCAGAGTTTTTAGCTAAGAAATGGATTCATGGTTTCAATTAAACATCATAATCAAAAATAAGTCTCCTCATGTAGTTAAAACTAAGCTGGCTTTTGTCACTTATCATGGTGTACAATAATTTTATATAACTGCAGATTATTTGTCCAAAAAAGTGAACCTCAAATAAGTGGTAATGCAAGCGTACACCTCTGTGTAATGTGGCTTTAATAGCTATTTAATGACGGTGGCACAAATTCAATGTAGACTTAAGGAATTATGCTCACCTGGTTAAATAAGACGTCTTTAATAAAAGGAAAAATGGCAAAAATAAAATTAAGATGCCAACTTCAGCTTAATTTTTGAGGGTGGCTCGTCACTAATGCTGCCTAACCTATGTCGATTCTACCTATTTATGAATTGAGCACAGAAAGTTCTGGAGACGCACTGAAATTCCTGGAATTTAAGTGGTTTAAACCGTCATTTTTAGTTTAAGACGAACACACGGGTCAACCTTGAAGTGTGGCACAGTAATGCCTTTACTTTTCTTGGCATCACTTTTGTTTTTTCCTATTTACACTACATTTTCGACTATGTGTTTTCAAATCCCGTTACTTCAAGCATCCCTTTTAATAAATCAGAATAATTAGGTAAACCGAAAGGCTAAAAATCTCTCCAATGCCCTGGCCTGAAAGCTAAGTCCTTTGGAGCTACCTAGATTACCCCAACTTCAAAAAACCACCTCAGAAAATAATCAGGGTTTGATTCAGCTTCCTTTCTCAGACGTTTAGCTTCTCCACCCTAGTGAGATATTTCCACCTACATGATGGTCGCAGTTACTTGCTATATCAATCTCAAGAATCAGATAGCGCTCTGTTCAACAAATCGGGGTGGCTAACTTCGCTACACGATTTGGTCTTAAAAGTGTGCACACTTCCGAAAATTGAGGTTTTCCGAAACGCGCATATAAAAAGCGCTACAACAGGTCTGGACCTTCAATGACCCACTGGGATTCTGTATGTATATATGAGTTATCACTATGGCTTTCTGACCTCTGTATGAAATTTTCTTTTTCCAATGATCACCTGTCTATGAGTCACGGATTATCTAAGACAATCAACTGGCCTAAAAATAAAACTGGCAATATTTATGAGGCTACTCCAGGCTTTTGGGAAATGGAAAGGCATATCACTTTCTGTTTATATTATGCTGCATAAAGTATGACTGACTTAAGAGACACGATTTGCAGTCAATAATTCTGTCGCTCTGTCATTTAAACACACATACTTGAGTTTGCATATAGGCTGTCGTGAATTTTAAAATCTTAATTTTCTAGACAGGAATTATGATGGGAACGATTGTGGTTCAGATCGGTAGCCATGTCCTCCACCTATAAACGCCGCTAGCCCATACACACAGAGACATTTGCAAAGGAGAAATCACTCGTTTCCTGAAACTGATTCTGAGCGAACATCAGAACACAAAATATATACGCCTATTTTTCTTTTCGAGATATCCTAGGTTTTACCCAAATTTGGATTTTCAGAATTTGGGTAAATCTGATTTTGAATATTTCATTTGGTAGGAACCACAAGACCTTTTTCACAATTAAAATTGCTATAACCGAAAAAGCCTTGGATATTTGAGGGTTGCAGGTGCTAATTGACGCCCATCCGCTCTGTCGCCACTGATGTCGTTTCATGTCGAGCCCGCCGTCAGTCATGAGGAATCGACTACTCATAAACCCCTTTGCACGTACCACCCTAATTACACGTTTTACTTATGTGACCATTCAGACATTTGAATTTTCAATAATGCAAACAGACTCTACTGCTAAACAAAATGTTGGTAAAGTGCTACCTTGATTAAACAGACTTGACAACACAAATAAGTTGATCGGTCTAGTAAACGGTTAGAGTCTGCCAACTCCAGTCTTGTCTTCCCGGGTATCGTAGTAGCGTAAAGAAGCCAATCCCACACAGCCACCCCGGGGGTAATTTGAGACCACATGCCGTGGTCTTTGACTAAGGAAATCGCTCTGCATTAAATTTGTTCCACACTGAACGTGTGGGACCTGTGTTAATGTTAAGACTGGGAAACATGGTGATGGAGAAATAAATACAAAGGACCCAATTCCGAAAGGACGAAAGAGGACAACTCTTCGCGCTCATTCGGTTGCAACTTGCATTGAAAGTATTTGGGCAGCAGGTTCAAGATGGGGACATTTCGCTAAACAACTCGCCAGATTTTCCAGAAATTTAAGCTCACAAATTGAAGCCTAAATATGCTATGGATGCATTTTATCATCGTACAACGTTGAGGAATGAATTTTGATCTCCAGTACGCTCCTCTTGATATATGTGGTGACATAAAAGAACGTATCGCACGCCCTGTTGATTCGCAGCTAACTTGACCTTAGAGACTTCTTAAGTCTTGTTTTGTGAAGAACATGGCCTATGACTTAATAGAAATCGTTTTATCGAAAGTTCAACGGTAATATCAGAACGGGCTTGTATTATGGCAGTACAGGAGATAATGTTTGCATGAAGTATGGACTGCTGGTAGTGTATCCCCTTGGTAACTAACAATTCTGCCCACCGTAACAATAGTAACAGTAAGTCCTTTGTTTTAAAAACCAATCAAGTAAAACATTCTACCTTTTACGATCCCCTCACAGTGGTTACAATGTGACTACAGTAATTTGGACTTCCCTTTAGATAATGCCAATTATTTATAAGAATATAAGTCAGGGAGACGGAAACAATCGTACGTCTATCTACCTAAATATCATTTGGATGATCCTGCATCCAAAATTAAGGTTTGCTAAATCAGCAGTGAACATGAATTGTAAAAAAATTCGGAAACTTTAAGTTGCATAACCAAGTAATTTTATGAAGTTACTTTTGTGCCCAACTATTTATTATAACAAAGCTTCTCCTATATTAGGTCGACAGATACAGCATCAGAGTTCCCCTTGCGACCATCATACACCTACCACACACTGTCAATCACAAAACACATTAAAAACTTAGGGGGATCGGTAACTGCTACACTACCGAATCGAACTTTAGCCGATGATTACTGCAAAACGGTCATTTATTTGACTACCTCCAGACTAGCCGAAATCTCACATTTTAGAATGCAGGCTCATGACGAGACTTCTCGCCACTCTAATCCTTCACCACATTGTCCCTGTTGTATAACCTATCTGGACAACCACATTCGTGGAGTAACGAGTACGTTATTGATCTTCTGCCAAGTAAAATCGCTTCAACCAGAATCACATGACATTATTTTGCCTGATGTTGAAATGGCTCGTGATTATTCGCATCCACCAACTCCGTAGCCACATACACAGACAATCCCCCTACTTTTCGCGGCGTCCCTATCGTTCATGATGATTTAAGGAAACTATTCATTCCGACAGCTTTCAAAAAAAACTCTTTTAATTAGTCCATATATCATTTAACCAGAACCTCTGAGATGTGTAGTTGATCACTCAATTCTTACTTATTATCCAGGCCATTTTGCAAAAATCAGGTATAAACTGAATAGTTTTATTGGAGAGCCTAAGAGCATTACCTCCTAATCAATTTCATGATGCAGTTTGTCTTCAGTCTGATCTTAATGGTAGGGGTAAAATAATAAAGATGGAAGGGGTTTTGTTTATATAAATTGACAGAAATTTATTCTAAACTAAGGCACAAAAAGGAAGCATTTTAAAGCCACTTTTGTGTTAAACGTGGAGGGAAGGGGAATGGGATGGGTATGCGGAAGATGTGGAATACAAAGGTGTCTAGACACGTGGGGACCTTGATGATGGGCTAGAATTAACACCATTTATTTAGAGAACTAAAACCCAAGCTCTATCCACCACTTCCTGTTCACTATAAATTCTATTAGGGATCATTGTCAGACTATCATCTATAAAAATGCTTTTGCACTATGAGCCCCCGAAAAAACTATTTCCTTGGAAGCATACCTTGTTTAGTCAAAATAATGTCATCTATTATTAAAAATGCATTACTTTCAGATTCACTGAGATGAGTACTCACAAACGCTCGCATCCGCGAAACATTTTATTTCAATTAATTTGGCAGAACACATCTACTTTTCCCAAAGCACCAAAATTAACTTGCCTACGGATTAGTCTATTTGCTTTTAGCTAGCATCAAGCACTATTCGCTGTCTAAAAAGTGTCGAGTTTTGAAAATTGGTTTTTAATTTAAGCTATTTACTTGGAGAAAGGCGCTTAACCATTGATTTCATAAGTATCGCAACACTTAAAACAAGTGGATTTTCGAAAAATAAAATATCGATTTTTACTTTAACGGAACCAGGCACCCAGTTTTGGGCAACACTAATCGAAATATCCTAGGCACCTACACGAAGTGCCACCGATACAGATCGATGCCCGCGATTTTATTTTTTCTAAGAGTTCATTTAGTATGATGAGAACTGACACAACTTTAAATGATAGCCAAAAATGGGTCGATTGGATTTTGAAAGATAGAGATTAAGTTTTGTGATTTTTTTACAATATAGGACATTTAGTTTATAAATACCCATTTGAAATTATGCGACCTAATTTTCTTGGAATCAATTTACATTTAATTTGACAAATTCAAACAAATATTCTCTGAAAATCCCTAAATAAGCTGACAAAATCGGACTACGAAAAGTAGCCTGAGGTTGTTTGTTTTTCCAGAGCTTAATTGTAACATCTCAATATGATTTTCTTAGAGATGTAGGTTCAAATTTGTAGATGGCGATTGCAAAAAAGAGGATAATGCGCATACTTGATGAAAACAGGTATGTCTTTAAATAATGGCAAAATGACTCCTGCCTTCGATGACCACAAGGAAAGGAAATTATCTGACAGTCAGAGGAAAACCTCTTGTTTATAAGTTAGTTGACATGGTTAATAAGAAAAGTAGATTAATGCCAATAATATCGAAATAAATGCTAAATATATATGTGAGCCCTTCCAAATGATGTTTTTACCGTCAGCAGTGGCGGTGGTAACTTGAGCTGGACATCTTTAGTTTGTTTTGAACGATATATGTTGTCTCCATATATCGTTCAAATTCTTACAGCTTCCGTTCTTTCAAAATTCTTGCAAAACAGATTCATGAGCCCCAAATTTGATTAAGTGTCGGCTCGAATTTTTTGTAAAATAATAATTAATTCATCTGCGAGATGCGGGTTGCCATTAAAATGCGTCATTTGCAGCATAAATCTAATTAACCGGACGCTCTCTAAGAAACCTTGCAGGCAAATCGAAAGGTGTGTTTTAGGTCTATCAATCCACTACTACAAAGTGACTTGGATATACCAAAATTTAATCATTCAAACATTTTAAGGAGAATTGGAAATGTTATAAAGTGTTCTAAAAGTAGCTAAACTAGGTAAACTATCAATATTTTTCGAAGAATTGACGTCACCAAATAGGGATTTATTCGTTTTTGCCAAAAGGATTCCTTTAGCCCAAATTTCAGTATTTGGACAAATTAAATTTTGGGAATCGTAAAAGTGGAAAAATGCGTCAATAAACAGTAGATATTTTTATGTTTAATGCTTTAGTGTACATGAACCTTAATTGTATGTGCCCCAATTACATAATAACGGCATAAAATGACCTCTTGACTATTTATTAAGTTGCTTTTTATAAATGTTAGCAAAGTTACATTGTCCATTCTATTTATCTAAATAGAAATTTTTATAGAATTTTACCTTTTAAAAGGATTGGACTCAAATTAATGAGGCGTTTAACTACGAATACTACGCAAAAATATCCATTAGCTCACTTTAGTGTACTTCTGTGCATGATTTGGAAAGATAAAAAAACTAAGGTATTAAATTAGAACGTAATGGCCTGCTGTTGTTTTGCAAAATGGCCTCAAGACAGAGCAAATAAAGGAGTACAATATGGGCATACTACACATCTCCAGCCACCGGTCAGAAAGTGAATAAACTTTGTTTAGATGTTTGCTATTGCTAGCCGGGAAAGTGGAAATCTTATGATGAATAGTGTTCGATCTGTCCCGTCTGTCAACTTTAATGTTGATAACGGTTATTTGGAGGGTTTGATACGTGGTTTAAAAGGTGGTATCCTTAAGCAATCCGACTACCTTGTCCTCATTCAATGTGAAACTCTGGAAGGTAGAGTCTTGTAGTAGTCTTTAGTGGATGCAGACTTAAAGCTCCATTTGCAGGATACTGATTACGGAAACTTTTTGGCTAATGAACCAGGCCCTCTTACAGTTAGCATCATCGAAGAGAAGATGAGGGAGAAACTTGTTGGCGAATTCCGATATATCCGCAACCAGGCCTTCCATCCTTTAACGCTATTTCTTGATTATATAACGTAATGTATCCATGTGTGTGTTTCATTTTAAGCCCTTCAGATATAGTTATATGATTGATAATATTGTGCTTCTCATCACTGGTACACTCCACGAACGACCAATTTCTGAATTAATAACAAAGTGTCACCCCCTAGGAACTTTTATGCAAATGGAAACGTTGCATATTGCTTCGACTCCCGCTGAGTTGTACACAGCCGTCCTTGTTGACACTCCGCTGGGTATGTTGCCTATAAACTTTCATATTTTAGCTCCATATTTCATTGACTGTATCTCAAAGCATGACTTGGACGAACTAAATATCGAAATCATACGGAACACGCTTTACCGCGCTTATCTCGAGGACTTTTACGCCTTGTGCAAATCATTGGGAGGTTCAACTGCCGAAATAATGTGTCAGTTACTTGCCTTTGAGGCAGATAGACGGTCTTTTCTCATCACGATAAACTCATTCGGTACAGAACTGACTAAAGAGGATCGTGCCAAGCTCTATCCTCGCTGTGGTCGATTGCATCCATATGGCTTAGCTGCTCTTGCGAAAGCAGACGATTTTGATCAGGTTCGGCATGTTGCTGAATATTACGCGGTGAGTCCGTCTTCGTCATCTGCCTGAACTGGAATGTATTTATCCCCAAGCTAATTGACCCTTAATTTGTTAGGAGTATAAAACATTGTTTGATGATTCTGGCGATGCTATCGGTGACAAAACTCTTGAAGACAAATTCTTCGAGTATGAGGTATTCTCCCGTTTTTGTGTTGGTTGTGTTTCACTTATTAGCATCTTTATTTGTAGTTAATGCAAGGTTTCATTTTAACTTTATTCTCACTGACTTCCATTAATGAGTTTACCTGTTTTTTTTTAAATTCTAATCATTATATCTCGGATATTACTTCTCAGTACAATGCTTTCCAGTGGTATGCAGTCACGATTTACGGCAAATTTACCTTGCTTGGTTCGCTGACAAGCGCGATTTTCTATTTTAACAGGTACAGCTAAATCTAGATTCTTTCATGCAGCAGTTCCACTTTGGCATGTTCTACTCATACATAAAGCTTAAAGAACAGGAAATGAGGAACATAGTTTGGATTGCGGAATGTGTTTCACAGCGTCATCGAGCCAAGATCGACTCCTACATTCCCATTCTGTGATGCGTCGTTTTGTTTGCGTACACACTTAAAGCATAATACTTTCCATGTTTATTGTATCTTGACTGCATCACTTCATTCGATTTGAACATTACAAAATTTAAGCTATTGCATCGTTACTTACTATTTTCTTCATGTCAACGCTGTCCTGTTTCTGAATAATCAAATTGTGCACAATTATGCTCGTCGATTGTTTTGGCGTTAAACTTATACCTCGAGTTGAGAAGTTATATGGATTAAGATGTCCGGGAAGTAAATTGCGTATTGGCAGCGTCCATTGATGTCCATCTGGATCTTGTCCATGTAGCCTGCGAATACAGGGCAACAGAGAAGGGGTCAGAGTGTGCGTTTCACGCATTAAGTCTAACCAATTGGACCCTAGCCAGGTTGTCGACGCGGTTGTCATTCATTTGCGTGAATCAGGACATCGCAGAGTTGGAGTGCAATCAGATCACACCAATGACCTAGATCTGGTCAGTTTTTGCTTCCCGTGTGCAACCAATGCGTTATTTGTTGAGGGCATTTCTTGACCCTTCAGGCTGTTGAACGAGTCTAGCCTCCATAATTTCAACAAAAAAAAGTGAGGTGGCTCCTGCATCGTGTTTAACTTAGGATTTAGAGAACGGAGTGAACAACAATTGCAGGCGCCAAACGTGCAGAAAAATGTCACAGGTTCTTTAATAATGCGAGGAAGTAAACGCCCTATGCAGGTTCCCTCCCCACAGGAGATTCTGTAGTCAACGTTTAAGGCAGATAGGTGTGGCCACGCGAGCTCTATTGAGGGTGGTAGTATTCGCCATTTCCAAGGCCTGGAAGAAAATGTCAAACTACTGGCAATAATGCGGTCGACTTCATGAACACTACTCACCTGCAAATCAACGGTTTGGCCTTCCAAATGACCAGACGTTTGTACGCAGTGTACTTTTAGCACACAGAGGTGTTCGGGAGAATAATCTAACGTTCGGATTGAGAATATATCAGTGGTTGACTTTATATCTTGACAAGCCACAGAACCATAGAAGAGACATCTAATTACGGTAATTACACTGCAGCGACTGGAGCTGCACGCATAGGGAATGTCATTTTAATACGTGTGCGCCACTCACTTCAAAACATTTTATTGTTTATTCCTTTAATAGAGGTTCGGATTTTCCCTTTACCATAGCTTGGACCACTATGCTTTGCTCCGTTCAGGCACACAAATCTAATCACATTAAAATGACTACAAAAACTTCAGAGCAGAATCAGGATGAACATTAGCAGGCCCCATTTCCATACAAATTTTGTTACCTGGAGCCCACTGGAATCCCTTCGTCACCCTCTGTGAAGTTGGCTCGTAGCGGAAGCAACATTAAAAAGCCCATCGGGTCGAGAAATGACACGCATCTTAAGCTCAACTTTTAGGAATACAGTTCACTTTCCTGATTGCCCTGTGCCACATAGCGGCTCAAATGTAGGGATATTAACAAAGAAGGCTACTATTCACATTCAATATTCGTTAGTCAAACCGGACTTGAAGTGACTTTAGAGACCTCCCAAAGCAAAATCCATGATATTCAAAAAGATAGATTTCTACTGTAAACAAAAGTGTACTAATCCGAGAAAGATCCAAAGTGTTATTGGCTCCACACATTGCAAACATAATTCTACCAGTATGTGCACATTATTACGCGAGTGCATAAATCACAAACCTAATTTTGCGAAATTTAAAAGCAATTTAACTGGAACAAGTTCTTAATTTAACAACCCCAACCAGACGATATCAGTTATAATTACTTGAATAGCAGATTGGACATCAATAAAAAGGCTCCACTGAGTCATTGCTTCACATTTCGTAGTGGCAAAACAGGCCACAATGGCGCTTCTCGACACTGACTGATGCTTTCGTAATAGTTAGTGATGTACGATTCTATCTGCACTTCTGCGGAGCAAAGAGACATGTCAGGAGTTTGTGAGGTTGATTTCAAAAGTGGAGGGAGCTGAAGTGAATGGGCCTCTTCGAGAGCTTTTTGCCTGTCCCTTTCTTCGCGGTGGCGTATGGTGTGGAGCATGAAATTCAACATATCCGGCCCAAGTTCATCGGTAGATTCTGTGACCTCGTCTTCACGAGTCTGATCTTCAACGCACTGTGTCTGATTGTAATTAAAAACCCAATCAGGTAAACCATGAGAAATGACGGTTAATTGACCAACAACCTCGTTATATGCTCGGCGATAGTATTCCTGTCTAGCGTAGAGCTCTTGAAGTTTGGCGCGAAAAGAACAAACAGAATATTTAAGGGGAAATTGCGGTTTGAGATGTGGGGGATAGGGGCCTCTTAGTGCTTCTTGGACCTGATTCAACATTTGGGAATAAGTCTCGCTTCCAGCGTCCATAACTACAAAACAATAACAGAGTACAAAGGTATTTATTCGACATAGTGGCTGGGTTTGTTCAACATATCAGTCTTGTGGTCAGCAACATTTGGCGTAATTTCGTAATTAGTTATGACGACCTCCTGACGTCTTACTTCGGTAAAATCACCCCGAAGGCCAATATAGTGGATGCGAGTGTGATATGCACCGAAATTTTTGCTAATATAGAGACTCAGATGATGGACACTTCCGAATTTCGCAGATTTTAAGGGATACGTGATTTCACCGAGAGGATCAGGATGTAATTCCAAACACTGATCAGATTCAGCCTAGACACCACAAAAGATATAAAACTAATAAGCCTACTTCAGTGTCTGCAAAGGTCATAAACGGCCTATTCTTATAAATTGAAACGGTGGCAGGATGGGCTTCCCCATTCTCGCCAGCTATAATTATGCCCTTCAGTTTCACAGACCCAGTAAAGGGTATGTTAAAAAGGAGCTCTTCGTCATCATCACTTTCAACAAAAGTTGTTGCATCTTTTCTTTCCTAAGGAAGAATAAAAACTCCTCAAAGTACCTCAAAAGGCTTAAAAATCTGTTTTCCAGAATCAGGTACGCTCTCGTTAAGGCAAACTAAGTTTGGTGTATCAATAAATTTGTAAAGGCTGTATGATTCGGTTAAATTTTCGTAAGAATGCGCATGCTCACAGTGCCCACGATGGTCACACATCTTAAAAACAAGATAAAGATATCGAACCTAAATAAACAGGCCGACAGAGTCAAAGGCTAGCAGTACGGCATTTACTAAAAGACCATTGGTGGACAATCCAATTACTTACCGGTGACTTAAAAACCGTTTCTATAAGGCATTGCTAATTTGCTGACTTTAACTTTTTAAGATACAGATTAGGGTATTTAATAGCAGTTGGTTTAGTTTAGAAGCTCACAGATGACTTACTTTAGTGTTTGAAAGTTAGTGATCCGAAAATAAAGCCACGAAATGCCTGCGTTGTTTAAAGCCATTTAATCTACGTCGTCAGACCGTTTAATTGCAATTTATATTTGTTTTCATATTTTTTGATCACCGACGAAAAATAACGGAATTTTACCGGCTCTATCTTATTGGCTGTTTTAAGGCTTGGTACTTATTCATCCAATATATGCCCTTATAGTAAACAAAGGGGAGCGAGTCACCGATTTGTGTTATAGTGGACTGACTAACATACACCACGCATTTATGCAACAAGAGTTTCTTATTACTTATAGAATGAACCAATTTTTGATGACAATTTCAATTAACCTGCATCTTCCATATGATGCTGATTAAGCTGGCGGAATGGAACAGTGGCACATGTTTGCTTTTCCTACAATTAAAAAGAATAATTAAAGTGATAGCAATTACTAAATTTTCACATCACAACCTAATATATACAGGTTTCTGCAATGTAATTAACCCCCTTTTTTCTGAATACTAGTGAGAAAAAAAATTTATGTTTCATTCGATAAACTCTGGTATTAATTAAAAGAAGACTCGTAATACTTTTGTTGGTGTTCATTGCAGTTGGATGAATTGTACAGTTTCTGATTAATAATCACTAACAAAAAAAATCCACTTTAATAAGCGTAAAATTACATGACCCTCATACTTAATCGCCTATGGACATCGATACATCGCAGCCGCCTTTGAAACTTTATGAGTTAATTTTTTTGTCATAAATACGTCATCTGTGCTGTTAAAAATCTGGAACTAAGAATTTACTTAATGTTAGACTGAAAAGAAATAACCACACTAAGCAGTTATTTGATTAAAAAAATAATACGATTGTTTCTAACTTTAGAAGAAACTTAAAAAGCAGTTTAGAAAATGCTACCTATGTAGGCTAAGAAAAACACATTAGTGAGAATGAGTTATGTACTGACATATTATCCATCGTACGCATATTTTGGCAATTTTCGTATAAATGTAGAATTGACCTAGCCACAAATTATTTCAAAATACTCTTACCACAACTCTTTAAAGTAGTAAATATTATTTAACTTGTTCATTCGTGTCGCATGTAGAGGACAAGAATCGTTTTGTTACAGCATACCATATATATTTCTGTCAAATTTGTGCCTTTGAACTGTGTACTTAGGTTTCGTTTTGTTTCCTCTCATTTGTTGGTTGTGAAGATGACTCATAATGTTGAAATTAATATTAATAATTTTCTCCTTCCTTGACATAGCATAACAGGTTTTAGTTGAATGGGCTTCTAGAACTTCGTTTGATTCCTATCCAAAACGCTAAAAAACCCTCGAGCACTTTCCTGTATGAAAACATAACGCTCACAAAAATAAATGTAAGAACAAAGAAGTGCACACACCAATGCATGCAATATATCAAATTTCATCCTGGTTATATATGTATGTGTGTGCTCACGACCCCAAAACCTAGTTTCTAGTCCGTAAACACAAAAGCGAAAAATGAGACAGTTTTTGCAGAGCACAGTTACTTCCATCTGAAGAACGAACATAGTTTATAAAAAAGACTAGCCAAAAAGAATGAATTCCCGCCATTAAATAAGACCCTTACACTTTAAAATCCAAATTAGCAATGAATTACACATTCGACCTAAGAAAGTAGGGTTATTTTAAATTTATTATATTAACAAAGCACTTTCACGTAGATTTAATAGAGATTAATCCCTTGCAACCGACTAGACTACGTTTCCGCACCACTTGCGAACAAATTCACAGACATCGGTACACTCTGGATTCCGATTTACAGTGGCAGCATAATTTAGGCGCTTCCAGTCTTCCAGATTAGCCGAATGTTTCCCCTTGTCAGCAGAAAAATATATACCATCACGCAGTACTGGATAGCCGGTCACTACACAGGGCAGGGCGGAAACCCCTGTTGCGGGGGAACGCAGACAGGCCTCGTAGACTCCCCTCTCATCCTTGGGGAGCGACTGTTCCAGCTTCTGGTCCATCGAGATAGTAAGAATCCACTCGCGGACAGACTCATGCTCGGATTTGGTAGCGTAAGGCTCCTCTGGAATCGGCACTTCCAGTGGAATATCTGTATCCTAATTAGCAAAGAATGGAATTGTTTCGACAACATGCTAGGTAGTGGGTTATATTACACATGATCGACTTACATGTATAACTAGATAAATCTTTCATTTAAATAAATAAAATGATCGTCTACTTTATAGGCAAACGGAGAATTCCACCTAGGGACCTCAAACAACTTGGTGACTAAAGTAATTTTTATTTTTGGAAAATTCTGCTATTTGATTATGACAACAGTGTAGTACGTCAATTTGTTAAATACAGAACTATTGCTGTAGATGAAATGGTAAGCCATTTAAAATAAATACAGCCTACTAGACAGAATAAAGAAATGATAGTTAAGTTATAAATGAAAAAAAAACGAACCGTTTCCTATAATCTGTGACGTGTCCTTTTGTCTGTCTATAGAATTAGAAAACTCCGGACCATCTTTATAAAAGAGTATGTAATGAATCGTGTTGATTCACGTCCAACAATCCGGTCGTCGCAGCCTCACACACATGTCCCCCCCTTTTACGGGGTGCCAGTTTGGCGCTAGGACCGTCTGCTTATTAACCCCTCTGTATGTACCACCACCACCAGCTCTATCCATGTGATATTCAGACGCCCGTATATTTACTAGTCCGCTCAACCGCATCAAACAACACAACTAGGTTGAGCTGTCTGGTAAACGGTTGAAGGTAGTCATTTCCGATGGTTGATTTTGGAGCCATTGCAAAATGACAGAAACTCTATCTTTGGCTAAGTGGCCAGATATTCCTAGAAAAGGTACACTAGCTACTGTCATACTTCCTATAACTTCATTTTTAGCAGATACTACGTTTTTAGTGGATACGAGAAGCTTTCAGTTTTTAAAGTCGAGATTTTCAAATGCATAGATAGCTTGAACAATAGAAACACCACTTGAACAAGGAGGAAATGCAGTTTTAAATTCACAGCGTTGTCATAATGTGTCCCCAAAGGCGTAGCAGTGATGACAGTAAGAGCGTGGCGATCAGCAAGCAAACATTGCTAGGAAGCGTAAGCGAGCACGCTTGCAATCGACCCAATTGAGTGAACCTCACGTCGCAAACCCTGTCCAGAGCGATGCTAAGATATCTTACATAAACTGACACCTCATAATACCATTAATCCACCCTATACAACCACGTTATAACTATAGCAATAGATCACCTGAGCCCCGCGTTGTCTACAGACCCCTCACATTTAATCGTGCCTTGTCGGTATGGTTTGCAAGGCCGCAGTGTGATTCAAGGACCACACCGGGGGCTTCTACAATAGTATCAACTGGGCACGTTGTGATCTTTCTTACAGACGGACCTTGTAAGTATACAAATGCGAATATAGCATGGAAAGAACAAAAACGCTATTGTTTGTGTTTGGTGCAAAGGGATATTTTAATGCTTTTTTTGCCCGTTTTATGTATTGGATTACTTTTTCTAAATTAGACTGATGCTAAGTCTCTGCTTTCACGAGAACAAAAATCAGAGCCCTAAAATCATGCTTTCAAAATGGTTAACATGCATTTCAACTATCTTGATAAAAAATAGACATGTGTGTTTGAATACGGAACAATCATACCTGAAAGTCAGTGCTGTCCAGGGCATCAGAGGTTCCATCTTGGTCCTCCATAACCTCCATGAGGTCAAGAAAACGATTCAAAAAGACGAATGCCATATTGTCCCAACCAATTTTGCGGCACTGCATTCCGGCTTCAAAGAAAGCCTTATCGGCTGGAATAATGTCCGAGTCTCGTAGTAGGGAAATACTGACCTTTGTTGCCAGCTGCGTTATACAATTGCAAAGTTTGAATTGCATTGTAAAAATCTATTCCAAATCTTGGATTATTTAACCGGTCACACCGCTTTCTGCAATTTCGTCTTTTATTTGGGCGTGAAGAGTGAAATAATCACTAGTAGCTCTCTTGGACGTCTAAAAACCTTATCAAAATGCCACTAAATAATTTTGAATGCCGTTCGCTACAAAAAAATAGTCTTCATGCCAGACTGCTGATTTTAAAGCGTCTAATTTTAACCACATAGGAAAGTCCTCATTTGTAATCTATTACCTTCCTATAATAAAGATCCGTTTTGGGGTAAAATTCAACAACAAATATTTCTGAGGTTGTAATGTAAGCTAAATGAAAGTCCAGTTAAGTCTAGAAGTTCACCAATTTGCCAACTAAACAACCAATCACCAGTTACAGCCTAAATCTATTTTTAAGATTAAAGGGGGCAAAAATTGCTAAAAAATGACTTGAGTGAACGATTATCGGCAATGTGTACCTAAATCCCCATGTTCACCCATTCTCGGATGTTTTTTTTAGCAGGATAATTAACCACTTTTAATTGAAAACATTTGTATCACACAGAGTATAAAAATTTACAGACAGTGGGCTACAATTACCGCTCAATTCTTTCCCTTTTACTTGTATCGGTTAGTCAAGTAACTCAGCAGTCAATGTAGTGTGACATTTAAGGGAACTCAGTTTCTCAAACGATGGTTCGAAAATGTCGAATTCACCTACATCAAAAAGTTGAGCTGAAATTAAGGCGGAGCGTGTTGCATAATAATGCGCAACCAAGAACATTCGTTCGAAAATCACCACCACGGCCGGCTGGAGCTTTACGGAAGTGGACGAAGTGGTGACCCGCTGGTAGAGATCAAACAGTGTGTCCCTTAGCGCTGCCAACGTTGGATAACCATCAGCAGAAGTCAGAGTTCTCTGTGCAGTTAGTTCCTACCAAGAACACATGTGGTTGTGGACAAAAAATGCCATTTTTGATAGACAATTTTGAATTTGTTGGCATTGTAAGTGTCTCACCTGGAAGATCCTCTTGTAAATGTTAAAGTTCTGAGCATATGGTGGAGCACCGTACCGCTTGTAAAGCATGAGTGCATCGAATGTACGGTTATCTTTGATCAAATTGGCAGCGAATGCGGCGAGATATTTGTGAAGCAGCTGGTGGTCACGCTCTAAGCCTGTTTCCTGGTACAGCCGTTCCGATGTTGCGATGCATTTCTCCCACCGCCCTTGCTCGGCGTACATCTCAATTGCAGAGAGGACATCGACTCCGGCAAGTTCTTCAGCCTCCCCGCTATTCTAGATGGCAAAAGATTTAGATTTTGACGTCATCTACGCACTCCCGAGGCTCATCAATATGTGGATTTTGAACACTAAATCAAAACAACTTCTAGCCTTAAGGCCTTCACCAATCTCGGAAAAGGACTATCAGGAACAAGCAAGAAACTTCGGACACCAAATATCCATATCAGTCATTAGGGTTTCTTAACCCAAGTATAAAATTACTCGAGTCATAGAAGATGGAAAAACATTTGCCCCTGATGCATGTGGTCGCTGACTTTTTGGTGACATCTAAGAATTACAAAAAGATAATTGTAAAAAGCGACTGCTCTGCCTATTGCGGCGTATAGTGTTAGCCAAACTAAAGATACTGTTACAAGTGGGAATTAGTATCTTTGCTGTAATTGCAATCTCTCATGAGTTATTTGACTCATATTCATTGTGGCTGACATCTCTTATACTTCACAGCAATAGAGATAGCACCGACTTATTAATAAAAATATTCACCTTAAGAGACTCCTTGTATTTACATTCGATGTGGTTCTCCAGTCGCGGTTCGAGATCTCTTGCAATTTTACGTGCCTTTTCCCATTCTTTGCCATCAATAAAGACGTTTATTGCTTCTTCAATTCTGTCAATGCCAAGCAGCAACTCACCAGCCGTGTTAAATCGCTGAATACGTAAGAAATGCCACGTTATACATGCCTCTAACGGACACTAAAAGACACCAAGCTACCTGTAGTCGGACCAATCTCGACGCTACCAGTTCGGTGACTTTGGCTGAACTCTCCGGTGCTAGGAATTTCATAGCGAGATTAGCTGCATGAACCCAGATATGCTCGCAAGCCTCAACGGGATGCGTTAATGCGGATTCTCCCTCACTGAGGAGGTCGGGCATGATTTTAAGGTACTGCTCAACAGCTCCTAGGTAGTCTCCACTTGTTTCCATTTGACGCGCCATAGATATAAGCGGGTTCATGGAGTTGTCGGGAGGAGAAGAACACTCACCACTCATTGAGGTGACTGAATTTGTCGGACCTCCAGTTCGCCGACGTGCACCAGTGGAACTCAGGTGCATTTTTTCTTCTTCGTACTCCTCCTACACAATTAAAAATTTATATCTTCACTGGGAATGGATTTCCACAGCAGAGGGTTTGTGACTTCTAAACCATCATTTTTAGTTTTCGTTTTGCGTCATTTAAAAATTTGATTTCATGATGTAAACCCTTATACAACTGCAACTTTAGGTCTTTTCGTCCGAAAAAAGATTTTTTTTAAAGTGTTGTGAGGTACAAAAACCTGGGTTTGTATGTTATCTCCTGCCATTTTGAGTTGGTATAATTAATCTGTTGCACATATTTACTTCATTAAAATAAATGCACAATTTCAAAGGTGAGCTGGGGAACTGACACCAGGGAGATGAGCTAAATCCTACAAATGATATCTTTTTTACTCATGCATACAGATAGCGTTAGTCAAATATGCGAACACCACGTCATACTATTAGCTCTTGCAGCTTGGAAGGTAGGTAAGCCTGAGCAACGCGAATGGCGTCTTCCCAGTGTCCGGTTTCGCGATAGGCTCGCACTGCCATGTCGGGGCGTTGGGCTCGTAGTAGAAGGGCTTCTGCCTGAGCAAAATCCTGTTCTCCAAAGGCTATGCGAGCCTGACCCAAAAGGACATCGTTGACGCTCTCTGGATCATGGTCGTTGGCGACACGGGCTGCTGACACCCAGTCCTGGTTGTGCACATACATCAATACTGCCTCACGGGGTTTGCCGGACTGGAAAAGAAAGGAGTCTTTGTCATATTCAAAACCTCGCTTTAAAGCGCCTCCATCAGAAAACGATGCTCTGACTTGTAAAAGCGCACCTTAATAAACTCCTCCTCTGCCTCCGCTAGCTTCCCCTCATCCTCGAGGAACATGGCGTACTTATTATGCACTTCAGCGATCTTTTCTGCCGAACAATTACGTACAAGGTCGAAGGCAAAATCAAATACACAATGTTCCGTTGCATAGTCGATCGCAGTGTCCAGTAGTCCCAGGCGGTTGAGCAACCGCACAGCCGAGTCACTGCCCAGATGCTTGGCCCACAGGAATGCGACCTGTTTCCTCAATTCTGGCTGCTCTTTACATTCACCAGCAACTCGAAATGCCTCCTCCCAGAGGTCCCGCGTGCGATACATGTTTACCGCAGACTTCCACTCTCCAGCCTGCAATAATAAGATCAGAGGCATTAGAGGTGGCTATTACTACATTGTATCTTGCTGCATGACATTACAAGGTCACATGCATTAATGGAGAGAAGAAAGTCTGCATTTCCATTACATTTATGAAGGATGCTGAATGCACGCCACCGAGCAGTGGTTAATGGCAGTTGTAAACGTATTAATTAATAAAACTAAAAAAGGCAAAAGTCAGCTGGCTCTAATAATGTTGACATTCTGGCAAGGCAGCTGCCCAATAAACCATACTTAGTGTGCAGTCCTAGTATAAATCCCCCTATCCACCCCCTTAGTCACAAAAGGCCACCATTGTTTTCTCGTCGCTCTACGAGGTAAATGAAAGGTATTTCTACTTAACATCAAACTAAATAGCTCCTCTTGCTAATAACAACCCAAAGGGAAGCACCGTTTACATGTTTTAAAGTTAAAATGTGCCCTAATTCCGAATGCATTCAGAAATATTGAGATGAATAATTGCACCACACTATTTTTTAGAGTAACGTTGAATTTGTTGGGGATCCAGGATTCCTCCAAGATGCCTCATCGCCGTTTCCGTCGTTGTTTACACTAATCCCCAAACCACGGCACATCAGTGGGAGAGTCACCCACGGCATCCTACAGACAACACAACCGTGTTAAGCAGCTTTCATCCAGCAGGTCAAGGTCACCCTTGAATTATATAAGTGTTGACATTCTGACAGATCAGACATTTTGGCTGACGCTATTAAAGCTCTCTGCACGAGCTCTGGTCTTGTTCTTGCATTAGCATGGGAAGGTCGGTTCTAGAGTGAACAGGGGATCTGGTACCGTTATTTGAGTGGTTTTCTCTTTGTTACGGGCAAACGTAACAGATTTATCCGTTAAGCATTACAAAAAATACGATTTTTCGCAACATTACGAAGTATTATTCCAAAAATGAGATTCTCAAACGTGTTAATTTTCCTAAATTCCAATCAATTTGGAAGAGGGCAAAGAATAAGGAAATTAAGTAATTTAAGGAAATTACAAAAGGCTACATGATGGAACTCTGTGAAAGCTCCTAACAAAACATGGCATTCAAGAATGTCTACTTTCATCATGCACAATTTTAACTAAATGCCACTCATAAATGTGCCCGGAGGGCCTAATTCGGAAATCAAATTTGAGGAAGTCAAAAGATACGGTTTGCCTTTCATTATATTAAAAATTTAATACAGACAACATTTTTCGCTCAATACCGTCATTCAGCTTCTAATGAAATATATGCTTTAGAAACTGAGAATAAGATTTTGGCAAAAGAACGGAAACTAACAATTAAGGCAGAATTTTAAATAAGAATTAAAAAATCTAAAATGACTAAAAATTCCAACTGCACAAGAAGTAAGTAGGTATTTTTTTTGGAAAAAGCCGAGCTTCAGGTAGAATATTTAAAAAAAATTCTATTTTTCTAGAAATTGATTGACCACTAGGGAAAAATCTGGACAGGTACAGGCGTTGAAGTCGTTGTAAGAAAAATTGAAAGATGTTTAAAGATGGTACAACCATCTTTGTGAATGCGTTTAAGCATTAGTTTATCAAATATCATACGGGTGTCCCATGCAAACCGCAGAATACCTACCTCCATGTAATATTGCTCAGCCTGTCGCAAATTGCCCTCACACTCTAATTCTTGGGCGATTCTGACCTGCATCTGCGCGAGTAAATCCGGGTTGTGGGCTCGTACCAGGCGGGTCACATCGCGATACTGACGATGGTTCTTGTACATTGCCATTGCACGGTCGACTCGATTCACCGTAAGGTAAAGTCTCTCTGCCTCCTTAAGCCTACCCCCTTCCTCCAGATTCTCCGCCTGTTGAATATACATTCTAAATTAAAACGCATTAATGGAGACATAGGTTAAGGTAGGATTATTAACTTCCTGTTAGGCTTAACTAAACTTATTTCAGTTTTCCTTCAATACAGTTCAAATAAGATAGCATATTTAATGAATCGGCATTGGCTTTTGGAAGGAAGCTAAATTTCGATATCCTGATTTAGGAAAATATACTTGAGAATGTGACTGATACCAGCTAAGAGTAATCGATCTTGACAACACGTTTAATGGTGCTTTGGGGTGTCCAGTCAAGTAAAGGACAGACAAACTAACAGTCGATCGTTGCATACTCTTAAGCCAATGACTTGCCGGTGGCTAAGACACTGGCACGGGGTGGCACCTTGTTGCAGGCGTCAAGGTACTCTTGCAACTCTTCGGTGTGGTGAGCAGTGAACCAATTGCACTCTTTATTACTTGCTGGGCCAATTCGTAACAGCACAAAATGAGAACCATAAATCGGTTTGATCAGTTATTGTCAAAACCTTCTTAGTAAACACTTCTGCTGTGAGATTCCTTGGCGTTGTTAATCAGGTCCTCAATTTTAAGTAAGATTGAGGCTCGCTTCCTAAAGTGTCATGACAGAACTACCAAAGGACGCGTCTTTTGGCTATCGGAAGGTCTGTTTCCACCAGATTCTTCTTGGTTCCTTATTTTCATGATGGTCGATCACAATTAGCCGACATTTTTAAAATATTTTGAAATGAATCAACAAATAAAAAGATGTTTCTTATTATAAAGTCGAACCTTGATTATTTGAATAAAGAAAATAACAGAGTTTTCTTAAGAACTTTCTGTGTTTCTCTCTACGTACAAAAATTAGATTAAATAAACTAAGTGCAGCCAGTACTAAACCAAGTAACAAAAACCCGAGGCACTTTAATTGTGATCTGATGGTTTGCAGTCAAGCATTTCTTTAAAGGTACACTACAGTTGCTAATAAGGTGCCCAAGTAATCAATTACATCATCAAAACATCGGCTTTTACTTAAAATTCTTTTTTTACTGACTAATCATGTCGAAGAGTCCCTATTTTCTTTGCCCACGGTGCTAATTTTGCCACGAAATTAGTAATTTAAAGAAGACTCTAGCTGTCCACCCGTGCACAACCACTGTCGCCCTCTACAAGTATTATATGACTGCTCCAACATTTATTGTTCCCAACTTTCCGGTGACAGTGCAACTGATGCGAAATCTCATTCCCCTGCAACGACGGCAAGCCAGAATGGGAGCCTCTTTTATTTAATGTGTTCACGCCATTAACAACTCAAAAACGATGTTGCATTGCTACACCAGAGCTCATTATAGTGATGACCTTTAAAAATTGGGTCAGATTAAAAAACCTCCTACGTTGGACTATAACTATAAATGATGTACGAAGCTAAAAAATCTCAACCATGGACACTATATGCCATTTGCCCTTACTCGTGATGCTTAATCGAAGGACACGACTCGTCGAATTTGTGTACTCGACAAAAGGAGACGTTAGCACGAAGCAAGAGCGATTCAGAACTGGCTAAGGAACTTTAAAAGGTGGACATCAGTAATGATCCGCCCACTCTGGTCATCGGACACGCATCGATGATAAAGATTTAACCGCGCTTTTGACAAAAATTGGAACCCAAGGCACTCGGGTGATGGCCAGAATGCATGGATGATTTACTCACTTTTTTCTTAATATTTAGCTGTTGATGAGTGATGGAAATACGCTCACAGAATCTCGATTCACCGCAGTCAAAATTAGATGGATTTATGCCCTAACTCTGCGTGAAGAGTTTTGTAAAACTCTGAATTGGGGCCGCCCACCTAACTTAAGGTTTATCCAAATGCTTTGCATGGTTATTTTTACTAACAAGTCATTTGATTAGACAAATGCGAATGTACAAGCTACTATATAGCTGATGAGGTCATAATAAATCAGCACATCCTTATTTGCAAATTTATTTAGTGGAAAGTAGTGTTAAATATAGGTGAATGAGGCCACGTACGAGATATTCACTGCCGGGTCTTACCGTCCATAATTAGATTTTACCTGTTTATTCTCCTCTGAGTGTTATATTAGGTCGCGTAATGGTTAAAACAGTAGTTTACGTCAGCTAAAATACATTCCTGCCAGTCACACTAACTTTAGCATGCCCTAAAGGTGCTTAAAAGGTAAGAAATTAAATCGTACTAACGTCATTAAAATTTGATCGAAATTATCATGCACGGGTATCATGTACTATTCTTATGGGGTGCTTAAGAAAAGTGTTTTTCACTTGAATGTCTTCTCACTTACACTGCTAAATCATCCTGGTCCATATTCCTTGACGCAAGTGCGTGTGCTTGCTCCCACATGCCTGCATTGGTGTACATTTCAATGGCTGACTTTGGTGCCTTCGCCTTGAGGTAGGCCTTTTCGGCCAACAAAAACTCCTTCTTTTGTGCATAGTGATGGGCCAGCTCCAACTGGTAGGGCGCAACGTTCTCAGCCCTAGTGTCCTCAATGCCTTCAAGGATTTCTGCAGCTTTGGTCCATTGATTTGCCTTGACGGCTGCGTCTAGCGCCTTGATGTAGGACCTAAAATAAATGAAATGAAAACTACGCATAAAACAAGTCATCTACACACTCGGTGCTTATCCTATCAATTTTTCTGTGTACCCCATAAGGCAACATCCAAAAAATTTGCAATTGTACTTTGTGAACCTATTCATTTATTTCAAATCGATTAAGACGTCTACTTAGATAATTAAGCGTTGCCAAACAGTTCCCTATTAACAGCTAAAAAATGCAGGCCAATTTGTACTAATGCAGAGTTGCACGCATGGTTACCAAATTTATATAAATAAAAACCATTTGACACACTGATACCTCTTACTATGGCATGAGTGTTGGTAATGAAGACGTGTGAGGCAATTTTCAAGACAATGAGGTTCCCAGAAAAAAACTACAAAGTAAAATGTCAGCACAACAAATTGAATAATTCTTTTTTCTTTAAAAGCCTGTGAACCTACGCTTTGAATTTCCACCAATATTTTCCTAAAACTCACTTAACTTCCAGCTTTTTTCCGTGCACTAGTAGTGATAAAATGTTGTCATTCCAAACATGACTTTGTCTTATGAAATTTATTGTGTTACAGACTTTATTCCCGTATTTTGCGTGCGTACAACGCAAACTGTAACTTACGACCAACCAAGTTCATTTGGGGATTCCCCGTAACCCTTTTAGTAATCTGCGGTTTTAAGCAATGTGCAGGTCATAATATATAGAAACCTCAATGAACATATCCTAAAAATTACCCATTAGGCGCCGTTTAACTTAATCTCAAACCCAGTAGTATTGGAAATAACTCGTAGCATAAAGCAGGTAGTTCCGCACTATGAATATCCAGCATCAAATGCCGTCAAACAGATTGACTTTAGCATACGAGAAAATTAAACACAATGGGAATTTGAGCAATAATTAAGAAACAAGCCTTCGACAAGCATCCACAAGAATTAGAAATCACCGTCGCCTGGAAGAACCACAAGTATCAACACATCAGCATTTGCAAAAGCAGTACCCAGGGCATTAATTTATAGTGAGACAGCAGCGTGATTGTATTATCAGACGTGCACAAGATCTGCAGAGGCAATGGTTACAAAAGTACAATTGTCATTTGGAAGATATGCCCAAGAAAACAAGCATACGTGATACGCGAAAGAAGAAGGATGGTGAGAAAATGCCAAATAGCATTTTTGAACTTACCCAGCTTCGACGAAATGGTGCACTGCTGCATCAAGTTGTCGCTGACTGGCAAGATGGTTCCCCCACTCCTCCTCCAGACGAATGACTTCAGTAGGGAAGTGTTCTCTAGCTAAATCCAAAGCTCTTTGAAATGCTCCTCCTTCACGGTAACAGCGCATCGCAGACTCATATTGCTTTAGTCGGAAGTAAAGGTCACCCGCTTTTTCGTGCCTACCTGCACGAACCAGGGCCTACAAATGACGGAAGTCTACTAACTGTCACACTTGAGTTATTCTGGTGAAGCAATAACGATATAGGAGTGAAAGGAGTGTGTTATACATTTCTAAGGTGAACCTTGATTAATCACATAGCTCCATCGTACAGGTTTGGGTTCACAGAATAAAATTCATAAATAAACGTTGTTTTGACCTTCCTGTTGTTATTGCTCTGTCGCATGCTTCAAGCACTTTGTGGAAGCATAGTAAAGGTATTTCAAACTTGTAGTCATAGAAGAATCGACAAAAGCAACACAACTCTTCTAAACACTCATTGATACGGAATAGCAGAAATTTCTGAAAGACAGCAGAACAGCCTTACCTGAGAAATTTGTTCCAAAATTTCTCGGTCCTCAGAAAGAGAAGCATCGGACAATGCGAGTATGGCTGCCTTTCCTGGAACGCAAGCTCGGAGGTATAACGTAACGGCAGCCAATGTGTCGCCTTCTCTAGCTCTCAAGTCACCTAACAATTCTATTTGACCAGTTTCAGCTAACCATTTATGATAGTCTTCCCGAAGACTATCTAACTTTGACCAATGTTTTGCCTCAGCAATCTAAAAATGCAAAAAAAACTTTAGGTGTTCCTCATTCAAATCACGCCACATAAGTTGTCACTGCACGTGAGACCAACCTCAAGTGCCTCCTGGTACTTTCGCAGTTCAGTATACATATTGATTGCTTCGTCTATGGCGTTGTGTTCAAGGAATAACGTCTCTGCAAGTTTGAGATTACCACTGAGAACTAGTAACCGAGCTTGTACCCTGTAATGATTAATATCGCCCTCCATCTCCGCTATTTCTCTCGTGACTCGAAGGTACTGAACCTTGCTCAGGAAACCCAGGGCAGCAAAGCATCGTTCGGCTATCAGAAGACTGCATGCTTTTAATGCTTTGTCGGCCAGCTTTTTCCACATGCATTCAGTTTCCTCAACCATCTCCAACGAATCAAGAAATGCGACAGCTCTCTCGAAGTCATCATCCTCCATCGCGGTTCCAAATTCAATAAGGCCATTATCAAGAAGATGCCTAGTGGTTTTCATGCCTTTGGACACAACAACTTCCGTTTTGCCTCCAGTGCGGTCAATGCCCATTATGTCACCGCCTTGAAGTGGTAAAGTAGTCATCCGGTCTATAGCCTCTATGTTGTACCAGATGCAAATATTGTCATTCGACTGCGCCACAACAGCATCGCTTTGCGGAATCCATTGAACGAAGGAGCAGAAAGGTAACAGAGTGAATGACTTAAAGGTTTCAGTGTTGACTAAAACCAATTGATGCTTTCTGTCCCGAAGTAACAAGTGGACTGCGTTCTCACTTAGCTCTAACCAGTCTACAATAACGTCATGTGCGTAATGGCCAACCGTATCACCTGTTACCAGATCCAATATGTTTACTGTCTTCGGGTCTAACATATACGCAATTTTCTTACAGGCGAATGAATTTTTTCTACTCCTTTCATTTATCCGAACACTAAAGAGGAATGGGTTTGTGAGCTCGGTACGCACAGATCCAAGTATTTCAGACAATCCATATTCAATAACAAAAAGCTCACCAGCACCAAAAATAACACAGAAGTTTCCATTTGAAAAGATTAATTTATTTTTAGCTCCTTTGTTTCTCCAGTATACTTCACTGAACTTTTTTGTCAGCATACTGGCCAGAATCAACGTGTCGGATGTTTGTGCCACGAGGTAGTTATTCCCGCCCATCACTTTCACGTCGTCAATCTCGTATCCATATTTTGACATTATTACAGTTTTTTCAAGTGTGTCCTTATTTGATACTATTACTTGACTTGGACCAACAAAGTTAAATTCAAAGTTTTTTACAACTTTGCGCTTCATGCAGCAGTCAAATTGATCCACACCACCACAAATTGTTCCTACTGTTAGCTTCGACCCATCAGCCTTCCAGCACATGGCTGTTATTGTGTAATAGTTCTTGAGGCTTTTTAAAGGGCCCTCTTCCCAGGCGTTTTTTTGAAGATTCAAGCTGAATACTCGTATTCTGTTGTAGCTTCCAATGGCAACAACTTGCCCGCTGGGACCCGAAATCGCCACGGTAAAATCCTTTTCGGTTTCATCCTTTGAATAATCGAATTGTTGCTGTATCTTGCCATCACGGGCGTAAATTATAACTCGTCTATCATATCCAGAAGCAAAAACCGAGTTTCCAGCCCAAGCTAACGCGAAAGGTGGGACATGGTGTGTCACAACTTTACACTGGGCGACACAAGTGCCGTCATTATTAAAGGTGAATCTGACGATTCGCCCATCAGCATGACCAGAAATAAATCCTTTTCCATCATTTGCTGCTGCCAAAGAAACTACGTAGGAGCCCGAAGTAAAGATTGTTGACGACTTGTTAACTTTCGTGTTTCCAAGACGAACTTTTCCATCCATGAGTCCCATTATTAGGTGTTGGTCAGAAGGCCAAATTATAGACGTCACTGGGCTCCGTTGCAAAAACTTGTTACAAATAGATTTTTTGTCGTCCCAACTGTCACCAAGTTTGTATATGAACACAATATTGTCAGACTGAGCAATCGAAAGCTTAGTTGAGTCACCAGAAAATGCGAGGCCTGTGATCACGTAGGCCTTCTTTGATTTTGGATCAGCAGGTTTAGTTAAAAACCGTTCTTTTCGTTCACCATCTTCATCAAATAGAACAATAATTCGATCACTTGTGGCAACAGCCATTCTTTTATTATTTGGAGACCAAACTATTGCGGAAATTTTCGCAGATGTTTGCTGGGGTGCGATCAACGTCTTAATATGCCTCAATCGCATTTTTTAAATCTGCAAAACAATACCACCACAATCTAATTGGGTTAGGGAACTGTCTAAGGTTGAATACACTGGGTTGGTGCAAGCCCAGGTATCAAAAACGTGGATACACGAATGGTTACATTAGCTACCAATCCCACCAAGAGTTCGAATAAGTAAAACTTTCAGGTCATAATCAAAATGATATAAAATAACACCTTTACCATTAAAAATTTTATAACACAATATTTAAATAATTTATATAGGTTGTTTTTGATAGGAAAATTATGTTATAGGAAGAGAGCGCAGCGATTTCTGCAATCACCGAATACGAGCAAAAGACAAATGCCATTCTTGGATGGCTTGACAATGTAAATTGACAAATTTGCAACTGATCAGCAATTAATTGAAATCTCACGTTTTGTACAAATTTAAATTAATGTAAAATATTCGAACAAGGCCTTAGCTACACGACATTAAGCGACATTAGCATAACACGTAAAGTAAAAATATATTATACTATCTTTTTTTGCAATTTGTTGTGTTGCCTTCTTGTTTGATCCATTAATTTGACCTTGGATAACTAGTGGCTTTTTAAACAACTTTAGATGGAATGCCTTCTTGTAATTTTATGGATGCTTTTACCGATTTCAGGTATATAACAAATCTTTTTATACCTTTTTGTAGCGACATTAGTAACCAATGTGGGAGAATATAAAGGTAATACTAATAGCTATCCTCAGTTTGCCAAAGTATGCGTTAGTCAAATGAATGAAATCAGTGGATTTCCCATTGAAGGGACCTACGAATACCTCAAAAGACTTATCAATTTTAATTGTACACATATAGTGGGAAACTTGGTTATATTTGGACTTCATCAAAATCGTACGTGTTTTGTTCCTAACTCATTTTGTATTTGTTGCTTTTGTTCAAAAACGACTGAAGCATACCAATAACACCCCGAGCATCTGTGTTGTCTTTGTATTGTCGTTTAATATGTGCGGGTCTAGTACTTACACTTTGATGTCATCCTAGGATTAAATGCCCTCTTCTCACTTTGTTTCATAGCATTCCAACGAATTTGGCTGATGTATCTGTTTTATTTCCTGTAGCCTTCTCTATAAGACTTTCAGAATTGACAGTATTTGTTATCGATAACGAACCTATGTTGTGACACCTAACTGGTCACTCTATATTGTGTAGTTTTTTCATTCATGAAATTTCTTTAGAACCTAAATAAAAATTCTTCCTTAAAAATGCATTAGGAAAGCTCATAGCTAGGAAAAAGATAATACAGTCATGTCAATCTTTATGGTATTGAATGTGTTACTATATATCTATTTTGAGATAGAGGCTGATAGTAAATTGAAGTTTCACTGCCAGCCTTCTCACAGAGTAAACTTTCATTTCAAAACGCGTATCTCCTGAAGAATCAGGTCATAATCTTCATGTAGTTTCATATCAGAAACAAATGTTTTTTTGTTGTAATTGTACTTCTCGTTCTAGCCCGCAAAGTAAATGAGTTAGGTAGTTAGGGAATTTCTCTAAAGTTAATGTAATAGGAACAAATTGAGCGAACTCCACAAATACCAATTCTATTTTTATAAACACATTTAATGCAAATGTTGTGACAATTCAGAAATATTTTTGAACCGTTAATTCCTAATAAAAAATTATATTTGGTTTAATTTAAAGTTACCTCGAATCTTTTAAAATATGTTTTTTTTGTGATGTAACTAATGTAAAGCATTTTTAACATTTGTGAAGACATTCTTCCCTTGAAATTCAATTTTCTCAAAAATATTAACATGAACTATAAACAACAGGCCTAACTAGCTTCCCAGAAAACTTTCATTCTGTTAACTTAACATTTACATTTGTTTATTTGCATGCGTTTTAGTGAATGGTTCAGATCCAGACCTCAGCTTCCTCAGAAGCATACAGGAGATAAGTGGATTTTTGATAATAATGAATTCCAGTGTCCAGGAAATTCCTCTGTCTGGTCTAAAAATTATTCGTGGGCTAGGCGGTGGATATAATATCGAAAAGGATCTTCCATTTGCTTCAATAGTTATTAGACATACATACTCAAAGACGAGATTTCTTAAACGAATTGATCTTAGCGGTCTTCGTGGTAAGGCATGGTCACTATTTCGATAATCAACTTGCATAAGCAGCGTTTTCAACTTTTCAATGTTTCATTTATTGCCTTTTACGAACTTTGAAGTGCCTGTTTCGAATTTATTCACAAAAAAGCTTGATTTATGTCAAGTGCTCAACATTTATCTGTCGTTATTAAAACGCAATTATTAACACAACAGCGGATAGGGAATTTAGTACAGAAATCAATTTTTCAAAATTGCTTAAAAGTGTGTAAAATAAATGTCGTATTAAGTCTCCTGGAACAAAAATTTACATAATTTTACTTTGATGTTGGATTTTGTCGTAGAGTAGAAAACACTCCTGTACTGCGACCTAGTATTGTTGAAGTTGAAATGTCAGCCTATAAAATAAGATTTGTTTTAATTTCGATGGTAGCAGTAAGAATATGTCAAGTGTCATCCATCATTATGAGTTTTCCAGTTAGATACTAATCAATATGTAACCTTAATACATTTAATGCACGCATACCTCACCAGTAATTAAATACTTTGAATTAAATATCAAACATAGAGTGTTATTTACAAGGTATCTGCAAGAAGTCCGTTCATCGTTAGTCTGCACACTCCAGATTGTAAGAAATTCCAAAATTGTAACCTGATAGAAAGCACAATTACACCTTTCGTTATGCACTTAAATTGTTGATGGCCTTGCACTTAAACAATCCAATGCTATTAGCGTATAGAAATATGTGTCAGTCTAAGGCGGAGTAAGATTTGCTGGTAATCTTATAGATATTTTAAATGAACATTCTTTCTCCACATCATTGCTGTATCTTACTTTTGACTTAATTATGCTTACAGGATTAGGCTGTATCGAATAATTATTTTCACTGGAGTTGAAACAAAAGTTTGATTCCGTCTTTCTGAGTACACGATTTGGCACGTAGGAGGGAAACTTGTAGTCGGCGTGAATGCATACGCTCAAATGCCATTCCACTAATTTTCACATATTTGTTTCCTTTCCGAGGACTAACAAGGCTGGCGCTGACAAGGCTTGACAGCAACTAAATTTTAAATTCATTGATCAGACTGACAGGATCCATTTTCCTGGCTTTTACTTTGTCATGCTGTTTTTAAGTGTAACAAGGTTGGGGAATTCGGCATTTTTTGCATTTTTTGCGAGAGCAACCGTCATATGTTTGCCTTAATTTTTTTATTTAGTCAGTTTTTTGGCTTTTTTAATGGTGCATTTCTTATGTTTTTAACAAACGACACACCCCATTTAAAGAGAACTAAACACCGCAAATAGGTTTGACTGTTCCATACTCTCACTCATCGGAGGCCAATAGGCAGCAATTATTTGACCGAATCACTTTTCATCTCAACTGATTTTTCCGTTTTATTTGATTGCTTGTTGCAGTTTACTTTATTCTCAATTCCAGACCATAATATAAGAATAAACATGGTATGATTTACAGAATATGACCAGAATTGTGACGTGTACACGAAATTTTAGCCTGGTTAATTACCATGAACAACAGCTAGTAGGCTTTGCTTCACAACAAACTAATGATTGTGGGCCTAATTTTTTTAATTACAACAGTCTTCAGAATGCCAAATAAGACAAAGATTAGAGCCATTAGGTAACTGGTACTAAATTCAAATCATGCTGAACTTTCTACGCATTTCAACTGTGCTTTTTGTGGCTTTAAAACCAATTTGTTTCGCTTTCCAATTTAGTCATTCAGAATGGAGATGTCTACATGTTTGACAACCCCCATGGCAACGACATTATTTCCAACATCTCCTGGAGCAGTCTCTTTGCAAATCCTGCAAAACAGCGTTTTCGCAACTCATCGTCCGTGGACTTAACCCTCTCAGACGTTCCACACGTCGAAATGGGTAAGGCAAACTTAATGCAAGTTTTTATAACACTTCCCAATTCACTCAAAGTAACATGTCAGTGATATTAACAACTATTCTAAGCACACATACATAAACCTGATTTAAAGATTTATCATAGATCGTTGTTTACTATTTGCAAAATAACAAGGATTACCCAAGTAATAAATCTTGGCATCCACGAGCACATTATTGAAGCCATCCAAACAAACTTCAGGGCAATAATGCGCCAATAACAGAAGCCAACATAGTTAAAATGGCGACTGAAGTGAATCAAATGGGAGAAGTTATTTGTGGCAATCAGTTCACCACACTCTTCATTTTTACTCGCCTCAAGGTATCCGCATTAATGTGTTGCACATTTCTGTGCACAGGTATTCGTGCTCTGTGCTCAAATTAGTTTTTGATAAATTTCGGTACATTTATGTGCAGTAAATAACTTCAGTTGGAGAAGATTAGATTTTTTAAACCCATGCCTTTAACCGGGAATAGAATTATTCGATTTAAGTAGCAGGGGGTTGTGGTCATTACATACTTTTAAGCCATCAACAAGTTCGATCGAATAAAAAGATTGGCTACCTTATTAATTGATAAGCGTTGTGATTTTTTATTTAAATTATTACACTTAGTAGCAAATTTTCCGCAGTATATTATAAAAGTCGTGTCGTCTCGAGGGTGATTAGTAACACCTAAAATCCTCATTATGGTCACAAGGAATCAGGGTTATGAATCATTGTAGCTAAAATTTGCCTGATAGTTAATGCGTCATTTTGTCAAGAGCTTTAGGGTCGCCGTAGTGCTTTGTGCCATTTAACTACCTGTAACGCGAGTTTTAAATTAATTCAGATACAGTTAAGTTTCATTTTTAAGTTCCTGAATTTAGTATGTGCTGTAATTATGGATCACATGTAAACTAAACAAAACATAAACATCAGTGGCAACTTTTAATGCAGAATTATGGCGTTTCATGTTCATTCAAATTTTGGCAGTCACACTATACGTCGGTTTTGTTTCACTGAATCCGCTTCACACCTTCTTCCACGTTTCTCAGCAGAATCCCACAGAAATTCAAGAATTATTAGTCCTACTGCATTGTATATTCAACGGCGTCCTGAATCCTAGCACTTAGGACCACTGTTTAAACAACTCGTTCCTAGTGTCGTTTAAAAATCCAAAATTCTGGGTAAAATACCCATTTTATTATGAATTCCTGAAGTCTAAAACGAGTAGTTCCGTCATCGGAAAAGGAACCTGTGTACACGTGATTTGTGAGCGCATCCCTTAAGGCATCCCAGTTGTATTAGGATTATGACGGTGGAGGTTTGTTTCTTGCGATTCATTCTGCCTCTCACTAAACTCTGGGTCCTCATGGAATTGGATGCTGTTGCATATCACCTCATTTACCAAAATGCACCGAGAGTCTCCACAATTTCTGCAGAAAAAGTAATGATTAAGGAGGCAGTCTCTTACACTAATGTAAAAACCCAAAACATCCTAATGTAGTCTATTATTTTAAAGTCTGACTGCATATTCTACTAAATTACCATGGCTAACTACTGTAAAATGAATATAATTTTTCAAGTTTTTTTCCTAAAACCGAAACTTTTAATGTGCACAAATCCAGACCTTAGCCTTTAATTGTTTAGATTATTTTATTTAAACATATTTGAGGTGCCACCATCCTAAATGAAAACTCAAAAGCACGAAGTAACAATAAATCTGAGTATCGAATGTTCACCTCCTAGACCTTCACTTCGCACACTGTTTACTCTGTACTAAACCATTAAAATTTGAGCAAAGAACAACAGAACATGCATCATAGCTTAGACGCCTTATGAATCTCGCAACGGCCTCTTTCGTATCATATTTATTGAATGTAGTGACGTAATTGTACTGTCAATTCCAAGGTGTATTGTATGCTATGGTTAAAAATTATTTATTTACAACTATCAATGGTGTCAAAATATGAGCTAGACTACAAATAACAATAATATTTTTGCGTCTTTAGTCGTTACGCTGTTATCAGTTCCCTCTAAGGTATCCCAAGTTTTACAGAAAAAACGCCAGCTTGAAGAGTTTGTAATAAGCGCTCAACTTGTAGAGGCCTGTATTCCAAAGAGGCATTCATTAAGAATTGATTGGGGCGCTGTTTAATGAAAGTTGATTCATGCGGCATCATGCGGGTGTCTGACACCTGTCGCGCCTGGACTGCTCTCCAGTTCAAAAGTGTTTCCTTAATTACATTAATTTGGAAGAGGATGTTTTTGGTTCCTGAACTTAATGGTGTGCTACTAAAAACGCATGACAGAAGTATTCAACGACCCGTTATTGCGTTTTCCTGAAGATACGTCAAAATGTAATACGGCCAACTCGATTTGAGGGAATTCATTCCATTTTTCTCCATTACTAGGTATGCCTCTAGAATGGGCTAAATTGATACACAAATCGATTAGACATTTCTCAATCACTGTTTTTTTTAATTGGACAATCTCTGACCAATGCATATTAAGGCAAAGTGTTCAATTTCAAAAAACCCATTAAATCAAGAGAAGGTTTTTGGGCCATAAAAGATTAAAAATATTATAGATCAACTGAACGTTCTGCGAAATAAAAGGCGCTTTGGGCATCGAAACTATCGCTGACATCATATTTAGGTGTAAATTATAAATTGCAGCACGACGGACGTATGATTAAAATCTGTGGTTATTAAAATATATTATTTCTTGATTTTAATCCCCACCAGCGTTTTGTGACAATAACAGGACAAGTTAGCTCTTTGACTTCATAATACCACTGAACCTAAATTAGGCTTTACTCTAAACAAAAGTGAAAGGTCAACTGAGGAGTTACTCGGAACCTACCAGTTAGCTTTTTGTCATTTGAACTGCTAATTTATGCTAGCAAAGATGGTTTAGTCTAAAAAGATTTAAAGTTTAACTGCAGTAATGCCTTCTTCACTGTTTTCACAGGGAGCGATTCAGATTAGTAGTGTGTAAAGCACATTATCACTTAGCCATCGAAATGTCACCACAGTAATAAGCAAGGTCCTGCGCGACTTGAATTGACTTGACGCCGCGGTCTGCCGGCTCCGGTCGGGATGGCCGGCGCCGGTGGGCCAAGTGCAGGCTCGCAGCAGCAGCAGCAACCACTTGCTGTGCCTGCGCCGTTATACTAACCCTGCCAGTCACCCGTCATCGGTTGCCTCACCTCTCTTTTAGCAGATCCGAAGCAGGAATTGTTGTCTTATTTGAGTCGTTAATGTTTACGTTTAAATCAAAAATTGTGTTTTGTGTGTGAAAAGCTTAATTAGTAGTGCAGTTTGCCTTAATTATTGGCATCACTCTTGGCAATTTAAGTGCGTGAACACACGAATCTGTTAATTGTGCCAATCGCGTTTTAAAAAAGGTCAGGCCTTCGATATCATTAAAAAACCTCGCTTCACCTTTCCAAGGTGATTAACGTTAGACTGACTCTGAACGCTTTATAGCAGATAAAGAAGGCTCTTTGGTCGAATAGACGCAGAGCAAGAAAACGCGTTATGTGAGACATTATGGCGCTTCAAGGAGCTCCATGGGAATCGATATGCGTGTTTGGTGCTTCTTTCTTCGGAAGGCTCTCGAATGACAGCTCACTCACGATCTCGCTGTCCTTTCACTAACCGGGCTCCATCTGACCCAGGAGATGCTGGCAAAGCACCGAGATTTATTTACCGAAGCGTTGATCAGACTTGAAATGTACTAAACATGCTCATCTATGGGTCTCCAACCATCAATACAAAAGGCCTTGGAGACTGCCGGGGTCAACTGTAATTGGTTAAAATGGCAGACGTTGGGAGTAGAAAACAAAAAATCTGCTTAGAATCCTAAATCGTCAACTAAATTGCTTCATGTGCAGTCACCTCCTGACTCCCGATGGTAGTTTTCCCGAGTTTGAAAACCTACAATTTTGTTATTTAAACTTCTCATACCGAAATGTGTGTCCAGAGCCGACGTTTGTTCAGCGTACTAAATTTCGTGATATTTACCAGGCATTCAATCATGCGGTACTTGTTGCTCGCATTGATCCTGATCTCCAAAGGGGCTGGCCTTTTAAATTCCAACTGGCACTATTCACTTGAACCTTATGTGCATAAATTGCACATGATTATACTAGTCTTATGCTATTAGGTGATAACTAACTTGCATCAAATGGTAATTTAAACTCGAGTGTCCTGGCAAAATTTGTTTACTACTTTTTTTGCACGATTTCCATCCTCCGATTTGGATAACTATTTCGCTTTACTGATTCAGGCATTGTGCGTTCAAATTAAGCGCAAACCTCTTTGTGAGTGCATGCCTTATGTGAACCCTTAATTTAAACCAATTTTCTTTGAGTGTGAGATCAGCGCAGACCCGATGGCTGCACTCAACATGAGTGCCAATAAGGTGGTTAGGCTGTGGAGACGGAGGCACCGTGCCATCCCCCGTCCAATCAGCTCCTCGGATGAGCAGTCGGGGGGTGAAACTTCGTGTTGGCTTTTTTTAAAAACTAACAAAGTCCTAAGTCAAACGAACCACTCGCTAATGCCTTAGAATGTGAAACAAAATTTAGGTTGGACCAAGTGTAACTTAGTTCTGCCGTGGGAATGAAATGGCAAAAAGATGCGAGCACACGCAGTTTGAAATGTTGCTCCAGGATCAAAAATTGCATGGTGAAACACGATCCATTCATCATTTAGATTTTGATAAGACAGTCTTAAAAATATCGGTGACGGAAAGCGTGTCTGGTAGCACGCGAGGCAGCAAGCAGTCTGGAAACTCCTCAAATTCTGATGCTTAAAAAGACTTGTGAATTTTGAAAGCGCTTTTGAAACGCGATTAATCTCCAAGATGCCATTTCAAGGACAAAGATTTATCAGCCAATTTGGTCCTGATCTTGTTTTAGCTTGTAGTTACATTTCAATTCCTAAAATTTAATGATTAAAACTTATTTTTAAGCTTGTTAGTAAAAAGTACGGCCGCAATTCTATAACTAGATAAAGTAGCATGTACATGTGTTTAAAAACGCTCACGAAGTGGTAAACCGAGCTTTATTCACTGCAGTGTGTTTACACCCTAAGACATAATTTTTTTGGTGCCTCAATGAAGGTTTAAATTTTTCTGAGAAAATCAATAATGTCAATATACCAGATTACATCTTATTAAAACATGTTCCCTTTTAACTTATTAGCCAAATGGGCAAGGTGTGTAAGAGTTTTAAAGGAGAACTTTAGATGGTAATCGGGTCAGCACATCCACAAGAAATAATTTTCAACGACACCCTTCAAGTGAAGAAAGGTTCCGCTTGATTTACACTGCCTCAATCAAGTACTTTTGCACGTGACAGGCTGGCACCTTTTTTTCGGATTTTTATGTAAGCACGTAAGAGTCTTCTTGGCAGAGTTATAGGCTTTTCTTTCAAGCAGCGCACTTTGTATTTGGGAGTTGACTTCATACCCTTACCAAGCCCATGAGCCAGCGAAGCTATTTGCCAGCATAGCTTTGTCACGAGTTATTGGCACGCATCACTATTTGACCTGTACAATATCTACAAGGTAGAACTCCGGTAGCAATGCATATGTTTTGTGCCAAATTATACACGTTTTCTGGATTTCGAAGGAAATAATGCTTGAATTTTTAAAGACAAGTCAGTATTCAGAATACGTACAGGAAGGTTCTATTGATGATAATTTTTTCATGTGAAATGTTCAAACAACCAAAGCTCAGGTTTCAGCTAACATGTAATCATTTTCAGATGATTTAGATGAATTTGCAATGAGAGCTTATTAATGGTTTTTCGTGTTTTATACATGCGGATTGCAACTTCGCAGTGGAATTTAAATGAAGCTGACAGGTAAAGTTTAAGGGAGTTCACTGGGGACAGCGCTAATTTATTCACATGCGGCAGAGCGAGTCTCAGAGGCGCGCCTGCGAACTGGCACCAAGCATAGTGCGCGTGCTGACAGCTGATTGGCCTGCGCCGTTTACGTCATCGATCCCGTTTGTGTGCCGCGCGAGTCACTCAAGGCGGCGCGCACGCGATTTCGCCCACGCGCCAGCCGGTGTCTGGAAACAAGCACCTCTGCAAAACGGAGGCCCGTCTCACTTGGTGCAGAGTTGAGAAGGTGGCTTAGAAGCTCCGGTATCTCTTCTTTATGCAACCTCACAAAAATAGCCTGTTTAAAATTCGAAAATTATGAGAATGATCACACATGCTCAGGTTGATAGTTCTAGATCATTGGTGGAGGTCGCTCAGCTGCCTAAACCTATTTAGTAGTTTTTCGAAACAAAGGCCTCATTCGGTCCACAGTAAAACGCACCTTTGTTTGAATTTTGAAATTGGAGTCTAGTGTATATATTCAGCAGGAGTATTAGCTTCTTAAACTTAATTTTGCAATAGTTTGGATTCATCAAGGAGACCACTTTGGAACTCTTAATTTTCGATTCCCAAAATCTCAGATTATTCTGGCTGACAACCATGTAATAAGTCGTGAACTACATTTTTGCCATTCATGTATAATTTTCATAAATTCTACTACATACCCACTTTTGACACCCACTAAAGGACGCTGGATAATAACCAGAGCTTGAACTGGGTCCCGTTTCGTGAATGGAAGGGTAGGGGGAAGGTACGTATCTGGCATTGCCGTATTTAGTGTTATTGCGATTTTAATTACCTTGACGACGTCGGTCGGTTGACGTGATAGTCAGTCAAGGAGAGCGCATTTTAATTGTGCTAATTCGGATGCGAGTTCAGGTCCTGACTCACCTGATATTTTCGTAGGATTGAGGTAAGTAGCGGCACACAATGACAAAAGTAGCGATTTGAGAGAGCAAATTTTTCTTTTAATTTCTGGCTGTTATTTGGAGGAATTCAGCACGTTTTACAAATCTGAGAAATGACCAAGGTGCACGCGATTCCACATCCCCTATACCCTGAGAATGTCGATGTTTCGTTTCACGCCATATAAATGGAGCGATTAAATGAGGACGTAGTTGCTTCTGCTACGCATAATAAACAAACTGGGGTTTCGCCTTGTAGCGACGCAAGGGAGGTGCAGGAAGCGCAGCTGCGAGTGGTGTTTCTCGCAGAGCGGTGGCGAGGAGCGGTGCTGCGACGCGGAGTGTCTGGGCGGCTGCACGGGTCCCTCCCCATCCGACTGTCTGGTGAGTTGCCTTGTACCAATATCCACCATCGGTTAGCAGTTTTGTTTTGGGTGAACAATCAAGTCAGTGTAGGAACCAAAATTACTTAGTTAAACGTCCCCGTAATCCAATCTCAACACTTTTAAGTTGCTCAAGCGTTCACAGAGAGTTAGAAGCCGTTGAACCTCCAACATTTTTCTTTTTTTCGAGACGTCTTATTCGCCAGGTTGCCTTTATAAGGTAGTTATGAGTATTATTGCTTTCGCCTGTTGATAATTCCTATAAAATATATTTTAAGCATTCCAAAACAATAAGAGTGCAACACCTACCAAGGTGACACCAGCAACAAACACGTAGCACATGATTCTACCATGAAAATAAAATAGAGGCAAAAGTTTGTAAATCTCGATATAATGTACAGCTCGTAAGGAAACTATAATACTGTGCCGTCGTCCCAATCTACTAACACGACATGAAAGCATTATTGGCAACATTGTCTTCAGATAATCCACAGAACCTCTGGTTTTTGGCAAGGAGCTAGTGATTTCCTCCACAGGAAGTCGAAAGATTAGACGCTGCAATAAAATTTTCCTCCGATGGCAGTGAATTGTGATGGTCACTTTGCCATTTCAGCTTGACGTTTCACCCCAACTATTTTAGCTTTGTAATCAGATGCCTTGGCCTTCATTCATCCTGTACCAAAAGTGACATCAGCGACTATGTCAAGACAGTTTCATTACAACGTCCAAAAAACATGAAGTAGTAAGCACCGAAAGGCTTTTGGGGGTTATTTGTAAACCAGCTAGGCCGAAATGATTAGCAGGTATTCCTTTTATTTGACGCCCTCAGTATTGGTCACTTGGATATACTGGGCCAGGTCTAGAATGACTTGAAAGCATCATGTGTGTCTTCGAATAGCCTGAATGAATCCTTTTAAAGGCCCACTAAATATATAATTCTACTCAAACCGAGATCAGTAGATGAGATGTCGCAATTTGTATTGTAGGTTTGCAAGAACTACCGCGATGGCGATACGTGTGTTCACAGGTGTCCACCACCGTTATCTCTCCAAAATTATAGGTTGGCATTAAATGTCAACTTTAAGTACGAATTCGCTGGATTTTGCGTTGAAGAGTGTCCAAGTAAGACATCTTAATACCTCTTTGCCGGAAATGTAATCTGCACTCTCCAAAATGTCCTAGATGGAAGCTCAGATTTCATTGTTCTAAATACCAATTTTTTACTAATTTATGCTGTGCACAACGATTTACACAGCTAAAGGTTACACTGGAACCGATTTTACGTATCTTTAAGAAGTGTTAAAAACACATTTATAGTTCGTTTGTAAGTTTTTATTCCAATTAAAATTACGAGTGCTAATATTCCTTTAGTTATTTTACTGGTTTAACGGAAAATGAGACAATCAACTAAGTTGCCCAGAGCACTAGGCACCAGAAGTGAAAGCACCATATTTAAATGTTATGCGATCCGCAGGGTTGTGAGTACCGAAGCCGATTCCCAGACATTTTCCCATGGGCATGCCGGTTATGGATGCATAAGGTGTGCACTAATAGTCAATAAATTCATGTGTAACCTCAACTCAATGGTTTGTAGAGTCGTTAATGGCAGAAGGACCAAGATGCGTGTGGGAATGCTCCCCTGGCCAGTACACTGCCGCCGGAAATGTCTGCGTCCCCTGTGAGAAAAACTGTCCCAAAGGTAACATTGTTTGCTGTTTCACATTAGTAGTACGTGGTGATGTCCACCAGTGCCATACCAACCCACAGACAGTGTCATGCTTAAACACAAAAAGCCACATTTGTGTCTTGCGACTAGGCTCTGAGCTCTCTTCTGCTGAGTGCCTACAATTCGGATGAGTTGTAATTTTACACTTGAATGCTTGATTTTGTGTCTCCCACATCATCTAGGACTGCGCAAATATAGACCGAGAGAAGGCACAAGTCGTTAGACGTGTCTCATGACCTAGGCGCCTTCGCGTACAGCTGTCTTGTAAATGTGACAAATTACTGACAAACATCAGTAATTAGAGCAATTGCTAAGCCCTTCAGAGCAATTCATTCATCTCTACTAACGAGTATTTACGAAGCTTTCTGAGCGTCAATGGGTATTACCTATCTGTCCACCTTCCTCCCGTTGGGCAAAGTGTATACGCTAGATTCCAGAACCAGCCACATAATTTGTGCTCTTTTGTAGTTTGTTCACTGGGCAACACTCAGTTCAGTGACGCCTCCAGCCTCGATGCAACTGCTCTCGCCAGCCTTCATAACTGCACGAAATTGTCCGGCAATCTGATCATTTCAGATGAGTCATACAGGTACCCAGATTACAATTAACCGGTTATAACAATAGAGGAATGTTTTCAGAGAGTACCCTTCTCTGATATTGACATCATCTCACAGCACGTTGCGCCTTTTACTGATATCAGAGCCCGCACTTGACTGTGGGTACGGTTCGGCCTCTGACCCGTTAGCCAATCTTACTTCCAGTGACGGTGTGACAAGGATGGTGAATGAAGTAGACTGCACTTAAAAATAACTGTCGTCTATTTAAAGCCGCTAGACATCACCCAGCATTTAGCTACAATTTGTAATAACGTGTTACAGTTATCGCTACGCCAGTGCAGGGTCCCAACCCATTTTGTGTAGCCCGTTAACGGCGTTTCCCGCACTACCGGCCAGACTAGCACGATGAGCAAGCGTCTCGCCAAACTAAAACTCAATTGAACCTCGTGCAGAGAGATTTCACCGTCTCAACCAAGGTCTGATCAACGTGTCAGAATGAACAGCTTAGGCGTGCCTGGTTAGACCTTGACCCAAATGAGCTGTGAGTGCGAAGTAAAAAGGTGAGACAATACAGGGGTGTGATTATTTAGGTGAAATAATTGAAGTGAAAGGTTTTAAAAGAACAGTTACACACACACCTTAAATTCAGGGAGACAATTGTTTTGACGTCCCAAACATATTATCGCTTTGTGCTAAAACAATGCAAGTCGCTTAAAATTTCTTTGTGGATCTGATTAAATCGAACAACTGTCAAATTGTTTTTGATTGCACCATAATTAGATTCCAAAAGGTTTTGGTCGGAAATCCGGATTTTCCTATTTGTAGCAGCTCTGTATGGCCCATTCAAAAAGCAAAAGTTTAATCATGTTCAGAAGTTCCGAAAGGATTACATGAACGAGCAAACGGCAAAATCGTTGTTTAGGTCACTGAATGCACTACTCTTGTTGTGGTCATTAGACGTAAGCATTAGTTTAATTGTGGTTTTGACGAAATTCAAGAAAAAGCAGATCAAAGCGAGCGTGTTTAAAAATATTCTAAATTGAGAAGAACATGCACAAGATCATGACTGACTTCTTACAGTAAGCAACAAATAAGATTTATGGGAAACATTTGTCCTCGTATTCATTGCATCATTAGTGGTGTTGGTTAGTAGTTTAACATGCACCGACAACTACTCGAATTTCATCTAAAGTTTAATTTGTGAAGTATTGAGCATCGTGCTGTGACAGCGCGTTCCAGATTTTGATCAGAATTTACAAGAACAGTTGAATACCTTTCTCGATTTTCAGCAGAAAGTTTTCCCAAATAACTTTACGCAGATCATTGTGTGTGGCCATGTTAACCCGTTAAATTGGCAAAAATTTTTTTGACATCAAACTCATAAATTGTATTTGTCCGAAACCCATCCGAATTTGCGGTTACCAAAGAACCAGAATAATTAAGAGATGATTACCTGTACACCATTAACAAGTGCAAATTTAAGACTAAGAGAAGTGTCGAATTGTACCTCCCTTGTTTAAGCAATTTTTTGCATTTGGATTACCAAAAAGGCAAAGTAGGCAACTTACGTACTTGCAATTTCCACCTAGCCCTAAAGGAGCTCACTGGAAACCCATAACAACAACTAAGGAACTGTGGGCCCTGCATTCGCTCAGGGAGGTGACAGGTTATGTCCACTTAAATCTTCGAAAACACCCGGCTCCCCTGAATAATCTCACCTTTCTTGAAAATTTGGAGAAGATTGGTGGCTCTCGTGAGTGACCCTGCCATCGCTTACTTTGACAGCATCAGTGCCCAACACACATACAGTTTCGTTTTCCTTATAGACGCAAGGTACAGCATGTCAGTCGTGCACAATGCAATCCGATTCCCGGGGCTCTACAGCCTTATGGAGGCTCCCCAGGGAGATGTGGCTTTTATGGAATCCCCTGAACTCTGCTACGTCCAAACTATTGGTATGTACTGATCCGGAAATTTGTTTTATTGAAGACTTTTCAGTGCGATGCAGTTCTGGAGTGGTTTAAACAGTTACACGAATATACATTTGCTCTGACAAATTCCATGCTACGGGACAAATTTCAAGGCGTCTGGGTAATTAGAGATAAAGTGTACGTCCAACTTTAACCAATTACAACCTTTAACCTTCTATCAGGAATACTGTTGAACACGAGCAAAGTCCTGAAGTACTCGTACTCAACGGTTAGCATGACAACCAAATACTTACGAAAAATACATTAGGTAATACCGAAGTTAAACCATTAGACCATTGCTAAATGCAGCAGAAGGAGTTATGTTTGTTCCCGATTGTGGAACTTAAGTAATTATGGGTGTAGTTTGACAGACACAAAAACCACGGAGTGGGTGCCCGATATTGTGACCGGGACCATGATTTCGAAGTATCCAGAGCACTACTGCATTTTTGCAAAAAAACAGCAACGCTGTCTAAGAAATTTGGATATTGTTTTAGTTACAGCAAAGACAGCGGACCGAAATTCGTTCCTACCAAGATTTAAAATTTTGGGCTATCAGCTTCCAACGGCTGAACAATGCAGTAAGTTATTAATAAGTCCTACATCCAAAATTTTATCAGTATTTTTTTAAATATCTGATCTGTCTCTACTTATTCTAGTGTTACTACTATTTCTCATGACATTCTTTATTTTTAGGGAAATAATTCATAAATACTAATGCTTTTGCACACTAAATATTATTTTTATTTTAATACTACATTAGTTGCTGTATATTAAACCTTGAATGAAGGTAAATTAAAGAACATTTTATTTGGTAATCTAAGGTAACTTCACCACAATCTTCTTACCACGAAATCCGTTCATCTTAATCCATAAGAATAAAAAGCCCCTGATTTTAATGGTTTCATCAAAACCATTAGCTGCACTAAGGCACACAGTTGCCTTGTGCAACATAATCTCCGATAATAAGGACTTGGATTCACTCGGAACCATCAGAGAAAAGTCATGATGAATTACGTGTTTTTATTATCGCTTGTTAAGGGGCAAGAAACGCCGTGTGTCACCCAGCCTGCGATCCTGCCTACGGTTGCTGGGGTCCGAGACGCGAGGATTGTATTCGTTGTCGCAATCGATCCATCGACGGTTCCGTTTGCGTCGAGAGCTGCTATGACCTGCCGGGCTACTACGATGCCCCAGAGGAGAGCGTCCTAGCACCGCCGCCTATTCAGTCAAGAAATGACAATCCAATGACAGCGCGACTGGTCTTGGCACGACTGGCTGCTGATCACGCCATTGAAGAAGCTACGCACACGAGATTTGCGGAAGCCTTAGAGAGGAAGAAAGCAAATATCACGTGCAGCCGATGCCATTCTGAGTGCGCGGAAACGTGCACCGGACCAGGAGCGGATCAGTGCGTTGGTGAATGCAAAAACTCCAAGGTTTGTTCTTTGTTTGTCACCATTCAAGTAACTCATACGCCTCGGCTACAAGTTTCGAAGTAGATGGCACTCAAAAGTAGTAACATGACTGATTTCTTGTAGAGTAGTGACGAGTGTGTAAGTGAATGCCAACACACAAGTTACTTGGAGAAAGAAAGTCGGATTTGCACTCCATGCCAAACTCACTGTCACCAACGGCTGGTGAGCAAGAAACCAGTCTGTACTGGACCAGGCCACCATCCAGGACCCGGTGGCTGCAATAAGTGTGAACAATTTCTCGAGTTCATCACTTTTGATGGTGTCTCTTTGGGTAATTGAGCTTTGTGATTATTTGCCACTTCATTTAAAGATAATGCGCCAACTTCCTCTCTCCCGCCCTATCTGTTTGAACACTCGAATGCCAAACATAAATGGTTATTTCAAATGAAAACGATATTTATGCCTACTGAATGAGTGATTAACTGCGTGAATTAAATTTTGGATTTTATGGTCCAAAATTCTTTGGTGAATTCCAGCAAAGTATACAAAAGCGAAGCAACAATATGCATTAACTTGGAAAATAAATTATCATGTAGGTAGAGGTCCTTAAACATAGATTTTTTTTAAGAATCTTGGAATTCAATTTATCACTGATTTGACACTGTGAAGGTGTAATTAGTTTCGACAAATCACAATATGTCCACTCTGACCAGAGAGGCGTATTTATTCCAGTGACTAAAACAATTCTTTGGGAAATTTCGGAAAAAAGAATAATAGCCGATTTAATGGTTCTACAAAGCCAAAACGGAACTGTGTAAACTTTAAATAATGCAGGCAACGTTTTGAATAATCAAACCAAAAAAAATGTCCCAGGAAAATTATGCGAAATAAGAGACGTCTGCTGCCAAATCAGAGTCACTGTCAAAGGTACTTGGTTCAAGTCGTGATTACAAAGAGTGCCATCAGTGCTATATTTGTAAAACGAGTTATGCGACAGCTAAAATGTGGTGTAAGTTTATGCTGTTTAAATAAATATTTCCCATCAACTCCAAAGTCATTAATTCACCTTTAGGTGAATCCAGCCGGACGCAACATGGAGCCCTATTGTGCATGCGTGGTGCATGCCCCGAGGGTACTTTCAGCACCTTCGAGGCGGTTGAACCGTCCTCCAAATTCGCACCGTTCGTGGAAGAGGGTGTCAACGCCGTGCCTGTCTGCCGATCGTGCCACCATCTTTGCAGCTCATGTACAGGTTACAGTGTGATCCGTGCCAATGTTAAGTCACCTGGATGCCTGGAATGCAAAGGATTCTGGTTCAATGACACATGTGTTACTGAATGTCCTGAAGGTAATCAGTTTTACTAAATTTCAATATTAATTATTGTTTGAGTTGGATTAAATATGATCCCAATCATTATATTCTCGTGAATACTGACGCTGTCTTCATTCCTGTCGTGTAAGCATTAGTCCCTGATGTGGAGTTCTCGTTGACTTTGGTGCTTTGCTTATCGATAGGGTTGGTCTTCCCAATGTTGCGTACTTGAACTGGCTGCGTTTGCATCTAGGGGTAACACGAGGTGGTATTTCTGGGACTCGGAAATGATTTTTAGGGTGGCCCGAATTCTTAACTGAGTCAAACTGCAACTCCACAAATTTGTATTTCATTAGCTCAGACAATTACAACCAAACCATGGAAGAATTAAGACTTGAAACATGCCCACTATTCCATAGTTTTCACCATCAATCTTTCTTTCATCCCGCCATTGGATAATAGATGGTTAGTGTAAAAATCTGCCTAAATCATCTAACTCTTACACACTGTTTTCTGTTACCTGACAGGTGTACGCCGACATTATTACAATTCGTGGTCCTTTTTTCAACTTCAAAGGTGGGCGATTTTGGGGTAATAGGAAAAGGAGAGATAGCGTTTTAAATTCTCCGCCAAACCTAAATGACTGTCCTCTAAAAAAATGTATCTGAATTCTTGAGAATTTTGCCTATCTTGGATTACAGATTAACAGCAAGTCTTATCTAACAGAAGTGACCTGAAGTCCTTCTCTTTGTTCTTCAAAATTAGATTCAACCTTCCAAATCTCCCTGACCCACCCACCAGAAACGCGCAAGGCGTATCACTTTATGCAGTCGATTGATCAACAAGGTCTCCTTCTCTCCAAAAAACTTCTCAGCCCCGTCAAAGGCGCCGGTGAGTTCCCCAGGCCCAAAATTTGGTCGCGGCACCTCGACGGCCGGTGCCTGGTTTGTCACGAAGAGTGTCGGGGGGGCTGTTGGGGTCCTTCGAACTCCCACTGCCATCGCTGCGCGCACTTCCGCGTGTGGAATAGAGATGAACAGGCTGAGGCTGAGAAGCTAGCAAGGGACATGTGGCAGGTGTCCGAAGGTGGCAACGTGTACCAGTTGAATAAGGATATCTCAAATCGACCTCTGTCGCAAACGCTGGTAAGTCGGATTCGATTTGCCTCTGACGCCAGATCAGCATGATACTTTTTGAATCTAACAATAAGGCATGTTTTAAATTTTATCTAAACTGAACTCGGAATTCAGGTAAATTGTTAGGTCCCCCTTTTTTTAAAGGACTACCCAACGCACTTCTCGTGCGAACTCGCATGCCCTCCAGGTCTCCCATATGCCTCAGTGGACCCCCTAACTGGAGACCGAACCTGCCACCTCTCTCCTGAACTCAACTTTTTCTACACGGATCGTGAGAACGCGAGCTCCAGTCGTCTTGGAGCGAGCTTAGTTGGTCCAATTGCCGTAGCGCTGGTCATGTTTGCAGTGTGTGTCTCAATTGCCTGTTACTGCAAGCGGCGCCAAAGCTTACAAAAGTTCCATTTTGAAGGGAAAACAGTCATCTCGAGGGTTTCTGGAATGTTTGATGGGGTGAGACTTATACATTTCTTGAAATTTTATTCTATAGTTCACAAACGACCATTCGTCACGCGAAATCGCCTTCTCTTTTACGGTAACATTCTAGAACATGCACGCTTAAGTGCAAAGAGATCAATCATGTTAATATCGTCACTACGATATGAGTTCTAAGTTTTACAAATGTTGTACAAATCACTGTGGTGTTAATAATTGTCCTTTAGTTTCCTAAATGAATGAGCGTCTCATTTCCTGGCTAAGAAAAAGACAATGGTAGCAGTAACGTGTCGTCTTACTTAACGGCACCTTTTCTTTACTGATTGCAGCACAACCAACTGGCGATGAAGATGATTACATAAATCACATGATAAATCGCTTAATACGACTGAACTGGGTGGTTACTTACCATCAAATTAACGACTGTGATCCACGTCGGATCAATAATACTAAACATATTGTTATTCTGGACTGTCTTAAAAAAAGCATTTTTTATAGTTATTTCGTTCCTGTGTGAGGCTAAAGTCGGAGCAGAATTATTGCATGGTTCCTGTCCCCGCAGCGTTCAATGATTTTGGCGCTTGTCAGTGTGGCGGAAACAGTGACGATCGTGGGATGAGTCTTTACGCAGTCAGCAACCGGGTTACGTGGTCCTCAGAAGGTTCCATCTGTCAGTACTGTCGAAGCAGTTTTGAGAAACCAAAGACTCCTCCATCGGCCCTCGTTTACCGCAATAACTACTTTTGTAATCCCGTAAGTCCTTGTTTAATTTTTTTTCTATGTAAAAGCCTTAGTCTCTCTGATCTGGATGATTGGACCCCATCACGTGTCTGTTGACGAATCAGAATAAGCAAATTAACAGCCCCACAACAATGGAACTAATCTTTGCGCTACGTTGCCAGTATCACTAAGCGATGTAGAATCAATAGCCAAAATGAAAATCCACTTATAATTAACTATGCAAAACGTCCTTATCCTTTTGTTGTAATGATTCCTCTCGTGGGAACCTCGAGCACAAAAGCTAAAGTGCAGACAGCAGTTGCAGAGACAAAGACTGCGATGTTTAATCCATTTTAAACAAAATCTCAGCACGGATTTAACGCTAGCTACTTCTGCAGCAAAGCCACTCCTATGCAACAATAATAATAGTTGGACCAACAGTAACAAACGAAAAATGACAGATAGCGATGAATGTGACCAGGTATTTTGGTTCCCGAGGACCCCTTGTCAAATCCTCACAAAATTATCGATAATGTTTAATTTTTGGCAACATTTGAATTTTACTAACCTTATTAAAGTGTATGCCAACATATGACTGTGAAAGCAACGCCGAATTTTCGGATACCCAGACAAGACCTGCACCATAAGACTCCAAAATGTCTCGAAGGCTAAAATAATCAAGCTAAAGTCTGTGACATCATCGAAGCCTTCTGAAGACCCTTGTTCATAATGTACCTTCTGCGGAGGATAACTACGAGGTCTAACGTCGGCAGTTTACTTTAGTTGTCAAGCGACTCTGTAGTCATGTAAGGGCTGCTTGGCTATTTGATGCCAAAATGTGCCTATTTGCCTGGGCAGGGTGTCACTTAGTTCTCCATCGGTTTTTGCCTCTTTTCACAGGTTTATCGTCGGTCAACGCGTCAGCAGCCCAACATGGGCCGTCTAATCTTAATCAATCTGGATGATATTCAAATGCCTGCCAACCAACGGGCTCTGGGAAGTGGTGCGTTTGGAGCGGTCTACAAGGGCGTGTGGAAGATGCCAGATGATGTTGATGGCAGCCAGCTTCTAACAGCAGATGATCAGGACAAACGTCGTCATGTTGATGTGGCCATCAAGATCTTGAATGAGTCAAGTGGATCTAGTGACCTTCAAGCCTTATTAGAGGAAGCAAAGGTAGCAAGATTGCGCATTTCTGCTTAAGCGTTTGCCAATGGAACACATACTTTTTGTATTCAATTCAAAGATGGCAATTTGTTTTTTTTTTAAATTAAAAAAAAACATGTCCTTAAATAATCATTGGTGGGCAGGATATATATTGCATTAAAAGTGTGCCGTGTTCTGCAAACTAGCGAAGGGAAAAATCTGCCACCACCAAAAATAAAGAAGCATGCTCCCACGCGGAATCTGGTGGAAACAGATCTTCCGATAGCAACAGACCCATTTTTCGGTAGCTGTGCCATAGCACTCAAGAGAGCGAACCTCGATCCTGCCTAAAATTACAGAACCAGTAAACAATGCCAAGGACTCTCGCGGCAGAAGTGTTTGCTAAGGTGGTTTTGACAATAACTAAACATACCGATTAATGGTTGTCTTTTAGTTCTGTTAAGGAGTGGCCCAGAATGTCATAATTAACGAAATTGGTTCACACCTCGCCAAGCCATCAGAGAAGCCATTCAACTGTAAAATGTATTATTGTTCTGGAGTTTCTGTCTAGAATAAGTAGAGTCAGAAGAATTTAAGCACTTATCATAATTTCTTTCAAGCTCTGCTTCGCACGGTTTGCATTCAGTTTACCTTTTGGTCTTCCTTGCAGGTTATGTGCTCAGTGCGCCACAAAAACTGTCTTCAACTACTCGGCGTATGTCTGGCTGGGTCTCAGAGGTACCTTGTTTCGGAGTATATTGCCAACGGCAGTCTAGATTGCTACATCCGCCGTTCGAAAAACGATTTGCCGAACCACTTGATGCTTCTCTGGGCTGATCAGATTGCCGACGGAATGGCCTATCTCCAATCCGCCGGCATTATACACCGGTCAGTATGACTTGTCTTTTCAAATTAACAAGATTACGCTGACTTGTTAGTTTGTAGTTTGGCGGATCATGTGTAAGATCATGAAATTAAAATCTCACCAGCTATCATCAAGTAAAGGGACCTAATTTATCTCTCTATTGCCCCCAAACAGGGCACTTCGGGCCGCTCCTCCTACGTAACTTTTTCCTGCAATGGTGCAGTATTAAGTTGCGCTACCTTTTAAGCCTGCCAGTTAGTAGGCCGTTGCAACCCTGCAATAAATATAAGACAGGCAGCTGTGGACAATGCCGTTTACTCAAGTCAGGTCGGGCAATGTGTGCGGATGTGTGAACGCGATTATTGGTTAAGTGGGCACAGCGACCAATCAAAGCTAAGACTGAGACCTAGGCAGCACTCACTTGTGCGCGTCGACCGAGGAACCACTATTTGCCCCCTTAGGGCTTTTAACTTAAACTTTAAAAATAACCAATTCATTCTATAGTAGGTGTGCTGACTAAACGTTTGGTGATATATTTCTGCATAAAACTAGGATTTTTTTCGGAAGATGTGAAAATCAAGTGTTGTCCTCGGGCCCCTCAGGGTTAGCATACGAGTAGGGAAAATTTGCAAATCTTTTTTGTCTAAATCATGATGCCTCTCTCAGAAACTTGCTACCTTGATTTATTGAAACGATATATTTTACCTGGACCACACAATAAACATTAACCAATCTTATTTCTGTACTAGTGACTTGGCTACTAGAAATGTACTGGTTAAGGAACGCGACCTCGTCCAGATCACAGATTTTGGTTTGGCTAAAATGCTCAGCGATGAGGAGGAACACGGGGAGGTGATTGTGCAATCTGGTCGTGTGCCTATTCGATGGCTGGCTATCGAAACCCTAAATAGTGGTCGCTACTCCTTCAAAACCGATATTTGGGCCTATGGTAAGACCCCACTCATTCGAATTCCATAAACTTTCTTACACTTTGTTAATGACCTTTGCTACACCACGTAGGACAACCTCAAACAGGCACATATCGGCCTGTGTGTCTGAACTGAGTCTCGGCAGAAATTTACGCCGTTTAACTATAAAGTAGCACCAAAGTAAGCGCACCAATGAAATTATTAATGTGGATTGCTCTTTTCATGGACTGCTGGGTTCAGTGAGCGTCCTTCAATCTCTTTAACCTCACGCCATTAGCGCAAGACGTTTAAACCCCATGCTGTCAGAATCGTTAAAAGATAATGAATCACGCTAATTGTCTGGGCTCGATACTGTAAATTCAGTATGGCTGTTGGACACATCCTGGTTCCATGATCTATGGTTAAAATATCTATAATGAAACGTAAAAAAAATGATTTTATAAATGTTCCTGTTGATACATTGGGCCTCCGTATCGCCAGATTTTAGTTCAGCTTTGTTCAGTACACCCAATTTATGTAAAGTTGTTCCATGAATAGGAGTGATTGCTGTCAATTACATGGAACTTTCACAAACCAAAACAAACACAAATAAATTACTCTTAGGATCCCCAGCATTCGGTACTAGCTAAAATCTCAGAGCAGACACCTAGAAAACTTATGCAAGTGTAACCGTGAAAATACGAAGGTGCTACTTTTTGCGCGTGTGCGGCATTGTGAAACCGACTAGATCTGTTTGCGTAGCTTTGGAGACTAGGATCAGAGGAAGTGTGTTAGCATGACCACAGAGGTTCGGTATCACCCCAGCAGTCTGTACCGACCACCAAACTCTAGGTCGACGAGCCACTTAACGAAAACTGTGCATCCAGCTGGTGTGGGTCCAGTGCAGTTGGTTGTGGGAAATTTGAGGCGAAATTCGAAAATTTAAAAATCGTCGAATAAGCTTGAGTTATGGCAACACGTGATTAGTGGCAACATGGCATTCAGATTAACTGTGGAAAGTGTCATTAAAACCACCTTCAGGCACACCACACCGCGCAATCCCTAATAGAAGGCTACGGCAAAACCAAAAAACTGCGGCTGCAATCTATTGAACCCTTCCCAAAGGGACACATTAAATTCCCAAATGACGCCAGTTATGAATAATTAAGTGGGTGAACACAACCGAAATCGATCAATGAATCTGTCATAGCCAGCCTCATCCCTCAAGAACGACAAGATAATTGTCTGAAAATAAATGAATTTATGGAATTGTTGTGATTCGCGTTGATTAACGCTCGCTAATCCGGTGGCTCCAGTCTTCGACCAAATTCCCCTGCTCAGTGCATGCCGTCGGCCGAACGGAACCTCAACTAACCCCATTATCGCAAAATCTAACTTCGATTTAGGTTCCTAATGTTCAGTAATTGATGTGTGCAAAAGTTCTTGCTGTGATGTGGTTTCCATTTCTAAACTTTACTCATGCTGTAGTACTACTAGTTCACTTGCCTTTGAAGGCAAGATATCAGGTCAGGCAGACGACTAGCATAAAATTCACGCTGACATCTGCGCAAATGTAAATAAGTATAAGTAAATATCCACAAACCACATTAAAAGCAGCAGAGACAACCATATACCGTGTTCTTTCCCTGTTACCGACAGCTAATATCGTTATCTGAATGATTTTGAGAACGGTTATACGTTTATTGGTGGTAATAATCATCGCACACAGGATTCAGCTCCCCGTGCCCTGTTACACTATTGGTTAGGCGCACATCTGTTAGTTGACACTGCACGTGAATATAAGGTTATAAGTACGCTCGCATCATGTGCAGATGACATGGTGAGCGATTCTAGTCCCTGCCACATAGAGGTACTTTTATGGTGCAACACAAAACACAGTTCTATAAGACAAAGTTAACTGAGAAAAAAACAGTATTAGGCAGCCAAGTACTCAAAGAGTATTTCTTAATGTCGACCATTTTTGCATAAAGATAAGTGCGGACATTCCAAAAAAACTGGCTATTTATTTCTACACACCAATCGTTTATAAAGATAAACTCACAAACAAACCGATGTGACATTCATGTCTGCTTTAGAAGGTTCGGTCGGTATCTGGTACGGAAGCACATAAGGAACATTTTGTTGTTAGAATTGTTGTACATTCCTATGGTCTATGTTCTATTTTTTCCTCAACAGGTGTGACACTCTGGGAGATATTCACATTTGGACAGAGACCCTACCCCACAATTGAGACGAAAGACATTAAGAGATATGTTACGACAGGGGGGCGCCTTTCGCAGCCCGACATATGTACACTAGAAGCATACCAGAGTCTGTTACTGGCCTGTAAGCCTGAGTTTATACATTCATGATACTCGTATTTTCTTTAAAATCTTCGCCGAACCAATGGAAGGGTCTTAGTAGCTGGATTTAAAGGAACCCTAAATGTAGTGGATTAATGTGCTCTCACTGCATCAATTTCTTCGAGATTGCCCTTCAGAGAAGGTCGGCGACCCTTAGGGCGACTGTCAATTCCTATCCGAGATCGATTATTGCCGAAACTTGCATTTCAGCCTCCTTTACTTAATTGACTTCACCGCAATTTGCTCGAACTACACACTGTGGCATTACGACCATTTCAACCAAGAGGTTTGCGGCCTAGTTCCGGTTTACCACTGTTGTAATAACATCACATGATTTGAATGGCGGAGCTCACTTCGAGTAGATATTGAATGCTTGCGACAGCACTGTGGAGACAAAGGCCGCTTGCATAAGTGTGTACGTTTCCAGCAATGTTGCAGTTGGTGGTTTGGTGAGTAGTGCTCGTAGTTTACTTTAGACAGCCTTCCGCCCACACATAACTACAATAGCGAAACTTTTCCGAAGTTTTTCGAAGTAAAAGTGTTTGGGCGGAGTATAGAGGTCTTACAGATGTTTTACGTGACTTAGCTTCGAACTTTTTATTAAGAGAAAAATCTCGGGGAAACACCACCTGGTACTTTTTTTCAAATTTAATAATTGAGTTTTTTTTTAAATTTTCTTCCAATCCTAGGTTGGCGTGAAAATCCGGATGAAAGAGTGTCATTCACTGACATACTTCAACTCCTTCGCAGCAAAGCAGACACCCCGGAATTCTTCCTTCACTGTAGAGTACGTCGCGTAGCATTAAAATGTCACAGAAACAAATGCGTTGACTCATCTAAACCTACGAGCTACTAAGATAGCCCATGTAAACAAGTTATTCTATGATTATTCAATTGCGCACAACACATTGGTCGGACGGTGCTACAAGGTCCATACATGTGGGGCCTTCAGAGCCCGCGCCTTCTGTCGACTGAGCGTACAGTTGCGGGTGGACAAGGAACACAGCAGGTCTCGTAGCTTATGAGAGCCACAACCTAATTATCTCAAAAGGAAACAAAAACCTGCTGTAAAAATTCACATCTTGAAAGAGGTCAGTTCAAAATAAGTGTGCACCCAGACCTAAATACAATATTAGTCAAATTTGCAATGGCCACGGTAATGAATACGCCAAGAAACACTCTTAAATTCTGAATCCATACGGTTTAGACAATTGTTAATCCTATGTCAGGAAATGAGGCACCTAAATAGATGACTTAAAAGTGAAATACTCAACATTGCAGCCAACAAGCAGTATTAGCGGACAAACTCGTGAAAGTCGCATCTCTGGCACCTACTCCGAAGTCGCAAGACCAGAGCGGGACTCATCGAGCCCTCCTGTGGCATCGAGTACACCCCTAACCACTACCACGACAGTTCCCTCCTCTCCATCACGAAGTTCATTCTACGTATTTCCTGCAACTAATGCCTGCCAACAACGAAGCGCTGTGTTGAGAAGAATAACGCCTCGCGCACCCACTACCGGTGGGGGGACGTTGGAAACGCTCTCCACAACAATCGAGTACACAACCACAACGAATAGCTCCGAGGACGTGACGCTAGCCAACGAACAACAACCAGATGTTCCGGTTGGTGGTGGGTATGTGTGGCCCATGCCAATAGCTGCACCAGAGTACCCTGAAATTGCAGCATCTGTGCTAGGGGCTGCGGGTGGAGGAGAATACGTAGGGCCACTTTTTAGACGCCCGACTGCGGGAATGTAAAGACACACTTCTATGGCGTTTTGCACGCGAAAACATGTATGTAAATCTAATACAGTATGTATGCCATTAAACTACTTGCAACACTGATTCTTCCAGAACGCTACTTTGGATCAGGTGTCAACACAGGGCGAGTGCAGAGCAAAGCGACACCTGCACACCCAAGTCATTTTGAAGGGTCTTTTAGTTAGTTTCGCAGCATCTGTGAAAGTCGTAGTGGTTTTGTGTGGGATTAGAAAAACCAACTACTTGGAGCGCAGTTGTGGGAAAAAGGGGGTCCTGACCAGTGAAAAAGCAAAGCGTGAGGACATCGCTTTACTCACGTAATATCTTTAACAACTAAAACCGAGTGACAGCAACTATGCATGATGTGCGGCTGCTAACGGTTGCGGTAAAAAATCCTGTCCAGATCGCCCAAATCGTCAAAGCAGAAACTATATGACCCAAAGAACACAACTCTAGGAGCAAAATGTGACAATTACCGATTCAACAGACACCCTCCAGGACACACGGTGGTACAGTTCATTTGTATCACCGGGGCACGAACTAAATCTAAAATCACAAATTTAATTCACGTCAGAATAAACTGTAATTGAAAAAAAGTATTCGTATATAGCAAAAAAATGAACAATTACAAATAGGGTGTATGTACAGAGACACAGACATCTAGTATTGTCAAATCTTCGTCAAGCCTAATACCTAGTGAGAAGCTATCACATGTTGCATTACTTCGTTTCGGTTGCTGCTCGAGTATGAGCACATGGGACACATAATAGCGTTGCTCTCGAGGACGGCAGTGCTCGCCAAGCCGGACGTAGCGTGTGGGGCAGGTGGGGCGGCCGCCGCCACCGCGACAGCACTCGAGGTAGCCGGGGGTGGAACAAGGGGCGGCTTCGGGGCGATGCGAACACCGACCGAGGGGAGATGGACGATTTTGGAAGGCAGACGTAGCTGGCTTGAGTTGTTTGGCAGGATAATCTTTAAAAAAATGTGGAAGCACGTATTTAACACGAGAAAGTGCCCATCGAAAACACAACGTATAATCTCGATGTGTACATGTCGTATATCCCAATCATGATTCCGATAATCTGAGAAATGCTTTTATAGGAGTTAAATTTACGATTTTGCAAATGATCGAGGATACGAAGACAGAGCAGTTTCGTGGTTAGAACATACATTCCATGTTTCGGCTGGAAAAGAGGGTCAATGGTTACCTTCTCAGTTCCAAGAAGTTGGGGTCTCATCGCTCCAATGATAGCTTGTAATCGAGAACCCCCAACTGATGTTGACACAATTGGAGCAACTTGATTGGCAGGCCGAACCTACAAGGTAGTTAAACATTAATCTGTTTGAAACCCAGCCCATCAAGAATATCCACAGCGAGAATTAACCCACATCTGCTACAGTTAGGTGTGTGGTTTTCAGGGGATCCGTTAGGGTTAATAGCGTGGTCAGATTTGAATGGGGTAAATTGATTGCATATTAAGTGGCCCCACTGAGTATTTTTTTGCGTTAAGTGCATGGAAAAGGAACAGATGATCGTTGCTCGGTGAAAGACATTGTCGTCAAAATTATTCGTGTTTTGGGTGAGCTGATATTGCGAGTGCGCTACTCGAGACAGGAATTTGCACTCGACGCTTAACGTAATTTGGCTAAAGCATGCAGTTTATAAAAGAAAGCGTTCCAAGAGATTGTCCGAGCACAAATCAATCAGGAGGCTTTTGCCCTTTACCTTCATCTCAAAATCAAGGCATGAATCATCACCGAGAGTTTATTGGTGTAAGCACAACGGATCGATGCCAAACGAAGAGAACAGAGGCAGTCAAATAGCCGGCCTCGGGAACAGCATAAAAATGCTAGTCTGTCTGCGCAACACACAATAGTTTATGCGAGTGATTTGACTAGCGATCAGTGCCAGTAAGCTAACTTAGTCAACTCTAAATTGGATTGAGTTCGTTCAGAACAACATGGAGCGACAGCAAAAGTGCGATAGTTGCCAGGTTCTGGAGACAGACATCAATAAAATATCAGACATACTGCGTTACTTCGAGGTTGAGGAAAGGAAGGGAGGCTGCACTGTGCTCCTTGTAGCAATGGGGTGTGCGCAAAGGAAGGAGCGACAGACGGAGCGGGTTGGAGCGAAGGGGCCGTAGAGGCCTGTGGAGCTGGGCCCGCATGGGACACCCAGTTGACTCCGTAAAAGTGCGTGGCAGGTATTGGTGCCAAGCCTGAGTTGACCTTTTCAAGTAAATACGTGCAAAATTAGAGTTGGCAGGCACACGAAACAATGAGGTTGGTTCGGTGCGTCAAATCAGCGACAAACCATGTCAAAGTAGCCCAATTATTACACACGAAATTCGAAGATTACGGACCACTTGACACATTAAATACCGCTCCAGCTTGTGAGTCATTTAAACGCACAGCCCTTACCATCTAGAACACAAAAACTAAAAGGCCAAAGACTAACCAATAAAGGCGAGAAGAAAAAAAATTCCGTTTCTTTTAGAATAGACATTGCAAATCCAAATGTGCCTAGTGCCTTGTATTAGAAAGAGCAGCATGCAAGACGGAAAGATCCTCAAAACAACGAGCATGAAAACGCAAAAGTCGAAAATAGCGATGTGCTAGACTGCAAGACTTAACCGAGAACAGCCAACAACCTTGGTGGTTGTTTAGACTACACAAGAACAATTCAGCAAGTTAGTTCTCAAATACGTCCAGTAGATTTGAAGTTTGGCACACCACATATGGGCTGACATGGACCACAATACCACGCCGTTTTTGGAAAAGGACTGCACCCAATCCTAGTGGATTACTTACTATCAGTTGGTGTGAAGGGCTAAAAGTAGCGCACGTCGTAGGCGTGAGAAGACCTGTGTGAAGGGCACCGCTCAGAGACTGTGGGGCCTGCCGGATCGCAACCAGAGGCGGCGCGGGAAGAAGAACGGTTGAGGCGTTGGAAGTTTTTGAGTCGCCCATCAGCCGACGGCGCTTTGCAGGAGCCTGTGTCCGACCGGGAGTCTTTGGTCGCTGACGCCGTCGTTGTTCAGTTGCAGATTTTCTGATAGAACGAAAGAGAAAGCAACATTGCGGTCGCAAGCCAGTTCATAATCGGATCAGACAGACACAAACACATTGCAAGTGTTTGAAATCAGAATAAAAAACGATTTTCAGTTCGTAGATAATTCCTAACATTGGTACTAACTACATTATGTTTTGACTTGACGGACGAGTAGCACGTTACATAACGTTGCAAACACTTCATCCCACTCAATGACGAGCAAAAACAAATCGAAACAACCTACCCAATTTTGAATACAACTATTCGGCATAAGCTTCGAGGTGTGCATCTGTTAACACTCGCAGCTAAAAACATGAATGTGAATAAAGGACGCAAAGTTACAAACACTACCCTGAACCATTTACTCTTGTAGGGAACATGGTATAAATATGAACGTCTAGGAGTGGGAATAATAGAAACAAACAATAGCTTACTTATTCCTCGCAATATCAACCTGCGTGTCAGCTAAGAGTTGCTGATGGTTTTGGGACGAGGCCAAGATTGAACTAATCGAATTCGACACAGCCGAGGAACATTGGGGAGAGGACAGGGAATTTGGCTTCAAACGGAAGTGACTTGTTTTAGCTGAAGACTGAGGTTGTTTTCCACCAACAGAGTCTGCAACAGGTGCTGCCATTGGTTGCGAAGTTCGAATCCTATTTGAAAGAAAACAGATATGGTAGATTTTGTCATAACACCAAGCACATTAATGAAACGGATCACAAAAGAGCAACATGTAAAATATCATATCAGTGGTTTAAACCTTCATTTCAATAGAACAAAATTTTCGACAATTCGATCGCTGACCAGTTATCACATCTGCTCAGTGTGTTAAAAATGAAACAATATCAATCAGGTAACCCTTCTTCTGGAAGTATTTTGTAAGTGTGGCAGACGCCCATCAAATCAAATTCCCTATAACCACCTTTTACGGGTATTCTGGTTAATACGATTACGAAAACTTACATTAGTTTACTTGGTCCAACGAGTTCTTCCAAATTGACAGTTTCCTCAAAAACCCGTCTGTATCGCTTTTTCCCTGTAAAGATTAGCACACCATGCACAGCTGAAATAGCGCTTGCACAGCGCTGCGAGAGGCTGTCGCAGCCCACCCTAGACATCGACAAGACGGTGTTTGCGATAGCTTTTGGGAAACAGAGTGGCGAATCGGGGCTGGGGAAGAGAAGAAGGGCCGCAAGGGCGTGGCCTGAAATAGTGCGGGCAGGGTCACCGTGCAGAAGCTGGCGAATAGCATTCCAGAAGACCGATGGTTTACCGGCCCCGCGAACTTTGATTTGGCAGACGGGAAGACGCGATGAAATCTTGTCGATTGGTTCACGACAAGCACCACAAGGGGCCATGACAGACGATTCACTAGCGTTGAGGTTGGTAATTTTATGAATCCTAAAAGACGCTACTACAAGTCAATGCTATTCACAAAAAATAAGTAACCAGAATATTCAGGCTAGGCGTAGACATTTGAGCAACTTTTTTTCATTGACAGGATAAAGTGACACGTGCTGACAGGTTTGAAAAATAGCGAGAACAGAGACCAGCGTTGTGAATACGACAATGGTCACATTCCTTATGATTGACTTTCACGAATGTAAACCTAGTTTAAATTAGTATCTTGTTGGCGTAGACCATAAATGACGCGACGCTAAACAGCCAAATAAGCGAATTTTTCTAATTCGACGTATAAAAGGAATTTACTAGTTACCTGGAAATTGTAACAAGTGTATCCCTACCTTGAGGCATGGCTCTGAATAGCCTTTGCGCTGGTGAAGAAGTAAGTGCACTCTTTGCACATGTAACAGTTCCCTCCATTTGAGCCAGGCGGTTTGGTGTTGGCCGGATTGACGGGATAGAAAGCGGAGAGAGATCGGGAGTTGAGACGAAATCTACCAGTGAGTTGCTGGAGTGAATAATGTCCCTGTTCCAG